TTTTAATTTATGTGTATAAAAATAAAATTGATAAATTTCAAAAATTAGAAGCCAATTAAGGAAAAAAAAGTTATTACACGGAGAAAGCTAACACTCAAGCAAGAAAAAGAAAAAAAATACGCATTTATACAATCTTTTTAAATATTATTATTTTTGTTTTGTTTAAGGATTAAAAATGTCTTAATCTATATTAATCTATGTAAATATTGTTAGAGTGAATTCTTTTTTATTATCTATTTTATAATTTTTGTGTATCACACTTTTATCCTCAAAAAAATTTTAAAAATCTATTTAAATTATTGTTGACCTTAATACGAAACTTACGAGGGAATAACTTTTATTTTATTATAGGAATACTTATGATTTTTATTTTACATTATTTAATAACAAATTTACATTATTAAATATACAAAGAAAAGAGATTTGCAAATGTAGTAACTTAAAAATAATATAATATTATTTTATATATTTATTTTGATTTCATTTATGAATTAATATTTTTAATATTATCTCATTTATAAGATATGAATGAAAAATGAAGCTAATATAATGATGATACTACTATCTCTAATTATACACTTTATAACTTCTAATCATATACACGTGCAAATCTTTAACTATTTTTTATTTATTTTTAAGCATTGCTTTGAAATATTATTTGTTTTGTGCGGCAATTATTCAAATGTTTTTATTATTTATTTATTTTTTTCTTACGGAGTTTCATAATTATAAAATTTTAACATGTTGAAATAAATCTTGGAGGAACTGTACTTCATATTGTTTTTTTATTTTCTTAAACAATTAAATATTAGTCTCTTCTTAAGAACTTGAGACATTATTTCAAATACTCAAATCTAATTTAATTTTAAAAATAATAAAATAACTTAGTATTTTAAATTTAAAGATTAGAGATATTAATAATATTATTTTGTAAAATGTTTAAATTTGTTAGAATCCATCAAAACTAGAAGATAATTAGAGATGAATGTTGCATTTCTATCATGTTATCGTATTCATCTATTAAAAAATAACTTTAACTTGTCTAAAAATCTATTTCATATTATTAATATCTTATGTTAAAAAACTATATAAGAATTTAAAAACGAAGAATATAGTTAAATATTTGACAAACTTGTAAACGGAGCACGAAAGAAAATCATTTGTAAAAAATATAATTTTGTTTTGGTTCTATGTATTAAGGAAATCATTTTCAATTAAAATTGTTTTAAAATATGTGAAATTACAAATTATGATTATTTAACAAAATTTATTATTTTTTCATTTAAAGTGCATATGTAATTATTTAAGTGATATTTATCTTATAGTTTAAATAAGTGATTTATGCTGTGAAACATATTTTATGACAAATACACATCTCTAGTAAATACAGTCATTACTAACTTCAAAATTAACGTTACATATAACAAAATATTTGTCAACAAATATTTCATCCTAAACTCTTGTAACTAACATATCATTATTATTTTTTTAACATGTTTCATTATACAATTTTAGAAAAAAATTAACCCTTGTCACCAAATCTCTTGCAAGTACAAGTAATCCATGGTAAATTTAATGTATAATATAAATTTTATATATAATATAGTTATGACTATTTAATATATAGTTTATCTTTGCACAAGTTTTATATATATATATATATATATATATATATATATATATATATATATATATATATATATATATTAATATTACAAATAAACTATGTATAGAGATATAAAAATAGAGTTGAGTGCTTTGCAATTGTTCAATAATTAATTTAAATAAAATTTAAAAAAATGTAACTCAATTCAAGTAACATTAACCCGATGCATATATGAGTCGGGATGTGGTGATGCCGAAGATGTGAACCAATTGGGCCGACAGTACTTCAGACGAATCCGAGTAAATTAATAATCTCCTGAAAGTTTGGTAATAAGGACATTTATTACGGATAACGAATCTTAACTCATTTATTATCAATTTAATGAAAAAAATATTCTTATCTGACACAATTTTTTACAAAAAATTATTTATATTATATTTATATTTCAAAGTTAAACACAAAATAGATTATATTTCACTAATTATATTATATTTTATATTTATAATTAATAAATAACAAAGATTAATAATATATTATAAAATTAGTGCAAACTTTTCATAAAATCAATTACACATTAGCCTGAAAAAATTTACTAATAAAAGAAGATAATATTTTCTTTATTTGTTAAGTGTAGCTTAGAGTAAAATATTTTATCACAAAAATATAAATGAAAAATATTTTAATATTCATATAAGGACAGTTAAATAAAGAAATGTCTCAAAAAATTGTTTATTACAAAAATAAAATCAAATAATATATAGATAGATAGATAATAGTTTCTCATCTTAAATGTAATTATAAGCTTATTTCAATAAGAAAAAAAAACTTTTTTTATGTTAAAAGTAAAGTGTTTTGATTTATATGTTGAAATAGTTAATTGAATATGTGTATGCAATATTTTTATATTTTTTTTATTGACAAAATTAAATTTTGAAGGTGTTTTTATTTTTAATTTTTTAATCATATTTAAATTCTTTTAATATATTTTTTTAAATATATTATGTCAAGTTAGAACATAAGATACAATAATAGAAGATACATCTAAATAAACACATAGTAGTTGAGTGTAAAAATAAAGTGTCTTATAAATAATTAATCTATAAATAAAAATTTTTGTAAGCATTTTAATTTACTTAACAACTAAAATGATATTTGTAGAGATGAAATTAACTTAAAACTTATATAAATGGCTAAATATATGTTTTTATTTTTTTTAATTTTCACAATTTTATGTGTTAATTACATATTTATAAAATATAAACTTATTTTTTATAATCTTATTAAAAAAATTACATTGCTGACAAATAGAGACGCTGTCATGATTTTTAAATGTCACAGTTTGGTAAGAAAACAAACTTATTTTCCTTTTCCTTTTTGTTTCCTTCCATCCTTACTATGAACTCCTTCCTCGTCACCCAAAGCTCTAACTTAGTTATCATTAATGATCCTAAATTCTTCTATATGAACATCAACAATTATTGCTTCCTTATCTTGAAAAAATTTCTTAACATCCCATCCTGTCGGTTCGATTGTAATACCGACAAACCAAAGTCAGAGACTTTAAGGTCTTTATATTTTTGGATAATATTTTCTAGCTTCAAACCAGGGTGGGTGATGCCGAGGTTATGACAGAAGTTGATAAGCTATTGAAAGTATTTTCTGTCAATGTTTCCTTCATTTTTCTCTTGTCCATTGTGGTGAATAGTTCTCCCATGCTCACATCTTCCTAATCTCATACTTGTTTGAACAGATATTCATGATGTTGTATGTGCTCATGCAGTTGGATCTGTGATCCATTCCAACCTGGAGAATGTTAACTGGAACTGTGTGTTTAAATAGAGATTTTTCATCAGAGATAGATCGAAGGGTTTTTTTTAACGAAGGTGTCCATTTGACACACCAAACTTTGTAGAAAATATGGAAGAGGTTGAAAATTTGTACATTTACATGCAACGAGGAAGAGAAGAAGGTTCATTATGAGAATTCAAGAAAGGAAGAGTTGAAAATGACGGTGAAGATGTTCGAGGTGACGACAGTAACTAGCGGTGACAGACTTCTCTATATATTTTCTTATTTAATTTTTATTATTTTTAATGAAAATTCATACCACATTCTATGGTATTTACGCGGAAGTCATTTTAGGATCAAATAATTTAACTTTTTAAGGGGTAAAAAAAAATTAGATTAGAAAACTAAGTTTACATTTTACATATACCCAACTAACATGAAAATTTTATAAGGATTATTTTAAACATATTATACCAATTTACAAGGATTAATAATATATTTTATTTCTATCATTTTATTTTGTAACAGTTTTACTAGATAATTTCTAGTTAACTTTTCAATTGATTAAGCTAAACATAACATAGGTTATATAACAATTTTTTATTTATTTATTTAAATTACTCGAATTTGAAACTTTATTTAATATATCTAATAAGTTTTTCATTATTAGACTCATGACATGTTCAATAAATACTTATATGGATTTAATATAAGGAGATATTTCAACTATTTTAACCTTATTTGATGTTATTATTTTAAAAAATCTCTTATTTTTAAAGATAATTTAGAAAACAAATTTTATTTTGCATGCAATCAAGAAAATCAAATAAACCCATATAATTTGAAATTAAGTAATTTTTCTTACATTTAAATCCAATAAAAATACTAAAATAATTTATAGATATTTATAATCATTTTATTTAACCTTAAAGCAGTAACATATAATTACGTTTAAACGGGTCAAGTTTCCATAAATATAACCATTATTAACATTTTTTATTCACATTGATAATTGCTGTTATTCATTATTATATCAAATTGGAATTGTTTTCTTGATTTGTGTGTCATGCAAAAAGTAGTACAGTTTTGTTTTGAAAAATTAATTGCGAGATTAAATATATATTTAAATTTATTGAAGTATTAAATAAGGGAAATCAATGAGAGAGAGAGGATGAGTCCACCAGCAAAAGTATTAGAGTGGAAAGTCAACCTGAAGAAGCAGAAACTTTGAGTGAAGAAAAGGCTGAAAGAGTGATAAGGAAAGACCTGCTGTTAAGGTAAGCAGTCTCATGCATGCCTTTTTGGCGCTTCTCTTCAACCTTTGTTATGTAACGCCGCATTGTTTTGCAACTTTGCATGATGCTCTCTCTCTCTATACTAACTCATTTCTCTCTCTCTTACCATCCACAACATTAATTCACCTTTCCAAATTCCTCCGCGTGTTGTGTTGATGTTGCAGCACACAGAAAGCTCTCAGAGTTGTTTTTGTTTTCCGAGGCTGGTTTTGTTGTCCCTTTTATATCTCGATATCCGTGTGTCATTTTAATTCTCTGCCTGCATTTCTAGGGTTTAGAGTTTGCAGGTCGGAGTGTGAGGGCCGTGTGCTATGGAGGTCGAGATTTGCATGAACGGTGCCTGCAAGAATGGCTCTGGCAGAGAGTGGAAGAAAGGGTGGCCTCTGCGATCGGGTGGATTCGCCAAGCTCTGCGATAAGTGCGGGTAAATTTTGATTCATCTCCCTTTTTTCTTTCTTTGTGCTGAAATTTCATGGATTTTTTCTTTGCGAGTTTGGCTCCTTAAAATGAATGAGTATAAGGAGTGTTTGTGACTGTAATTGTGACCGCATGGAAATTCTTAATGTGTCTTTTTGTATGCTTTAGATCTGTTTATGCCAATTCAATTTTCTGTGAAAAATTCCACCTACATCAGACTGGCTGGAGAGAGTGCGAGTTTTGCAACAAGGTAAAGTATAAAATAATTTGTTATTTTTTTTTTCTATTTAAATTCTATTCAAGCCATTTCCTTCTCTCTCCATAGACTTAGAAGTGTGTTATCTGACTTGGTTTGCAGTCAATTCACTGCGGTTGCATTGTATCAAGGTTTACTTTTGAGTATCTTGATTTTGGCGGTATAGGTTGCACAACTTGCTGTGTGAAGGCTTCCCAACTTCCTTCGGTAAGGTTAATCTCAATATTTATTGTTAAAGGATGATTTCCAGCTCAAAGTTTATTTCCTTAGTATTAATGGTTCTTGCTATTTATATTTTAGTTAATTCCACATTTTTGCAAAATTGTACTTCTAGAATTGCAATTTTTGTGAATGGATGTCTAAAATTTCATAGAATTTACTCACTGACAAATGTTGATTACCAATGCTGAAATCATAAGGATTGAAATGCAATCATGTTGTTAATATACCTTTCAAATAATTGTGAAGTTGTGATTGTGTTATAAAACAGAAAGGGTAATGCCTTTCTAATCCTAATAACCTTTTTCAAGTTTTGAGTACTACAACTTTAACGTTGCCTGTAAAAAGAAGACAAATGTAATGTCCACTAAACCCATATTTATTTTAGTCATCCCTAGTTAATATCTGTCTGTCTCTCCTTCTGTCATATATTTCATTTTCCAATGTTTACCAAATTGTTTTACCTGGCTTGCTGGTTTTCTTAGGGATGCCTTGCCTTGGTCTCCCATTATTGCGTTGTTTCATTATTTATTTGACAGTGTGAGATTTGTAGTTAGCAATAATTTTGAAGAGTTGTTTAGTTCCATGCTGCTACGACATGGAAAGTTCAAGAATCATTATTTAAAGTTTTGTTGCAGATGCAGGAGACTGGAAACTCTATTAGGTCTGTTAGATCAATAAAAAATAGTGCAGGTGATAGTCATACTGAACATATTGATGATAGACTATTCAATGATGGGTCTAGCAAAGGAAAACTTATGCATATGCGTAGAATTGTTGACGGTGGAGAGTCCAGCCATAAGCCTCAAGCTGAGAGAGGTGACATAGATTCATGTATTGGTCGAAACAGGGAAGACATAAGATTTTCAAATGTGATGAAACCGTCTAATCATTCATCAAAATTTACTACATTAGAAGATAATGGACCAACATGGGGGACCAGAAGTTTGCAGAGGTCAAGTCCACTCAATATTTCTCGGGGAGCCTCATCAGGAAAATCTGTCTTGCCTTCTGGTTTAGAGATTGTAGAAGGGAGATTTGAGGGTAAATCATCATCTTCTTCCTGTCATCAAGGACAAAGACCTGTCTCCATACTGCCTAAACCGATGAACGGGATAACTATGAATATGGAAACAAGCCATGGCATGAATTCCCATGATCGTGTTGCCCGGCCACCAGCTGATGGAAAAGGCAAGAATATGTTACTGTCTCGATACTGGCCCAGGATTACTGATCAAGAGCTAGAGCAGCTGTCTGGAGAGTATCCTTCATATTTATTATATAGTTCTTTACCCTGTGACACATGTTTCTTTATACAATAAAAATTAACAAATTCATGTAATAAAGAAAAAAAGATAGAAAGAAATAGCGATGGCAGATGAAAGAATTGTAGTTTGAGTTTCTGAGGTGGTTGAGAGAAAAAATATATTTAGCTAGTTGCAAAGCTAAAGAATATTGAGAATGTCTGATAAAGTTCAAAGTTATATGTATTATAATTTATTATATTTATTGAAATAAAGTTAATTTATTAATAGTTTCCTTGACATTATTATCATAGTTTGAAGTCTACTATAGTGCCTTTATTTGAGAAGGTACTGAGTGCCAGTGATGCAGGTCGAATTGGCCGTCTCGTTCTTCCAAAATCATGCGCTGAGGTAAGCCTTTCTTTTTCGTCTATATTTTTGTGCACGTGTTTATTCATGCATATGCATGCAGTTATTGTAAATTGTTCTTTTATTAAAGAAATGGGTTATTACTAAGATGGGCGCGGTCATTTTCATCAAATAATCCTATTTGAATTGATTTTACAATTTTCATATCAATTAAATATTATATAATAAAAATTTATTAAATTAGAGATATATTATGTAATTATTGATATATCATTATTATTATATTTATAAATAAATTAAAAAAATCTTATAATTAAAAGTTATAATTTAAGATTTCTATGATATATTTAATAATTATAACATTATAATTAAAATACAATCAAATTATAAAATCATTTTTTTAAAATATAATTATAAGTATTTGTTAATTGATAATTAATTTAAATATACAATATTAAATAATTTGATTCTGTTTTTTAATTTTTAATAAAAAAACTAAATTAAAATGTACAGTCTAAAAAATAATATTAATTCAAATTTTTAATAACTTTTTATGGGTTTGATTTTTAAGATCCCTAATTATGAGCATGAATTTCAGGCTTACTTTCCTCCTATTTCACAATCAGAAGGTCTTCCTTTGGAAATGAGAGATGTGAAGGGGAACGAGTGGACATTTCAGTTTAGATTTTGGCCGAATAACAACAGTAGGATGTATGTCTTAGAGGGAGTAACCCCCTGCATGCAGACCTTGCAACTAAATGCTGGAGATACTGGTACTTCCATCTACCTACTTTTTTTTTTTTTTTTTGTATTCTGGTTTCATTAATTCATGTAAACCCCAAAAGAAAAAAATGTTTGAAATTTCATCTATCAAACCATGTCTAAAAATTAAAACGAAATCATACAAATATGAATTCTCTTAGATAATTTGTATTAGAATTTTCTAAGAATAAAATTCAATCAATTGATAATGAAAATTTTAAAGAATATATGAATATAAAAATAGATATAAAATCTATTAAAATATTCTTTAAAATTATAAAAAAGAAAAAGAAAAATCCTAAAATTTTGTATTGTAAGAACTCTAGAAACATAGAAGGAGTAATAGAAAGTTATAAAATCATGTAAACCCTAATAGAACGTTATAAATTTCCTACTACTCTTAAAAATATTTTTTAACCTATGATTCCAAAATAAAAAAGTTAATCAAATGAGAACATGTAAAGACATATTTCTTCATAAAAAAATAATTATTTAAAAAATTCTAATTTTTACTTCCTATAAATATGATTTAATTATAATTATAATTATAATCGAATAAATTAATGATTTGTCTGCCTAGTGTGTGATAAAATCAATAGGCATTTTTAAATATACAAGTAAAGATTTAAAATATATAATAAAAACTCTCGTGAAAAATTATTTTAATCAAGTTCATATTACGATTTTAGAATAACAAAAATCGATTAAAAAAATGAAGACATATTTAAAAATAAAGAAAATTCTCAAGATTTATCTAACTCCAATCAAGACAAATGTCCTCCACTTAACATATTTAAAATGTCAAGTCACTTGAATAAAGTTTGTTGGCATTGCAAAAAATTATAATTTCAGTCTTGCAAAAAATTATAATTCCTATAAGCTGTATTATTAATATTATCATGAAAATTCAAGTCGATAATTGATAGCTTTAGCGTCAAAGATTTGGATGCAAGAAATCTAAGATAAAATTCACAGAGAAATGTTTATGTTATGAGTTGAATCAATTGTTTTGTGGAGAAGGTACACTCTTAAGTAGAAAGTTTTACAATTTGAAGTGATAATTTTTTATAACCCAATCTAATAAATGTGTCTAAGTCAAAGTCAAGAGTTCGATTCCCTTGGTAAGAGTGAGATTGTTGCACATTGTATTCATTTTCCTCTGACAAAGACTACGTAGGCAAAGGACCAGTCAAATTAAAAATGGTTACTGAATTGTGTTAATTGTTGTCAAACCCTAATATTTTATGTAACTCAACAAAGTAATTTGCTTTTAGTTCAATGACTGAAAGATGACCGATAAACAATAAATGATTCTTAGATACATGATTCATTGACTATATTACCACAATTCTCAAGACACAGAAAACAATTTCAATCACAATCAGCATTATAGAAAAGCTAATTTCTCACACTAAACAAAAAACATATAAATAAGGCACAGAAAAAAACTAATCTCTCACACTAAACAAAAAACATATAAATAAAGCACTATTATTGAATAACAAAAAAAGTGATATATAATACAATAAAATACAAGAGATTTTAGTCTAGTTACATATAACTAACTTTAAGAAGAGAGAGTTTAACTAATTGACAAAAAGAAGAAAAATGATTAAAAAAAAAATGGAGAAACTTAGTTGAAGAGTCATGGAAACATGAGGGGAGCTTTTCAATTATCTACCCACTTTGTAAAAGCTTTTTATTCTCCCAAATAACAATTTCTGATCCAAAATATACTAATTGTCTTCAATGGGTTTAAGAATATTTTTCATATTAGCTCATTTAAGTCACATCAAACTTCTCACACATAACACTGCATTTTTTTTTCTTTATCGAATTTCCAATTTTTAAAATTTGAGTTGCATTATGAATTTCTCACCTTAAATCTCAAAAGTCTCACGCTCAGCCTCCCTCGCACTCAACTTTAGAAATCCTAGTTTTAACATCAAAATGTTAACACAAGAATGATATAAAGTTAACTTTGAAAATTTCAAATTTGTTTCCACAATGAACTTCACTTTATTTTTCAAAAACTTTTCTTTCACCTATTTTCCTACAAAAGAAACATAGATTATAATAATATTTTAAAGATATAAGACATTAAACATACTTTTTAATTAACAGTTAGATTAAAATTATATTTAATTAGAGAAATTGGAGTAGGGAAAATGCAATATATACACTAACATATATAGAATATAAAGCATTTATTAACTATGTTATGTAACATTCTCATTGCTTATTATTGGAGATTAACATTCTTATTTTCATTAGTAATATATAATATGATAAAATGAGTCGATCTATTATTAACTTATAATAATTAAGAATAAATATATTAAAGCGAATCATTTCAGCTGACAGTTAACTCATCAGAACAAGGTTAAAAATAAATAAATTTAATTTAATTTATTTTGTGTGAACCAAATATTTTGTAACCTGTGTTTGGTTTGGATCACTTAATTATGTGTGTTACTTTTTTTTTAATCCTTAAAATATATTGATTGATGTATAAAATATTTGTATTCACACTTTATATATATATATATATATATATATATATATATATATATATATATATATATATATATATATATATATAACATACATTAAATTATTAAAAAAATAGTGCCAATTCGATCTATCATCAACTTGATCTATTTAACCCACAGATAAGTGAGTTAGACTGATTTTGACTCACAAAGAGAGAAAAAAAAAAGTTAAATTTTTTTCAAACAAGTGAAGTGTCTCATTGACTTATGATATATAACCAACTTAGTTAAGGTAGGCTCAAAGCTTTAATTCACCTTGACAAGAAATATTTTAACAGGGTAATTTATATATATAATTATCTGAATATTTGTTAAGTTTGACTATTTAATTAATCCTTCTTATTAGATAAATTAAGAATATAATTAATTTTAAATATTAAATTACTTAATTACCATTGATAATTGAAATTTAATTTATAATTGTTCATTTAAGTTATAATATTATTAAATATTTGTATCCTTCAAACAATACAATATAAAAAATATGTAATTTTTGAATTATAATATATTTTATCTTTATTTAATAAATTAATTTTAATTTAGAAAAAGAAGAAGTGAGAGCGGACTATTGGGCTGAAATGCAACGAGCTCTGATCCACCACTTCTTGGTATCATCTTACAAATCATAAAAAGGTTTTAATTTCTACACATTTAAAAAAAATAAAAATAGTTTGTTTTCTATACGTGATAAGGTTATCTAGTCCAAAAAAGCAGCTAATTTGAATCTTCTATTTAAAGCTTTTGATCGTTCTTTTAGTAACTCTCCTTCATAATTCTCTATTCTTCTAGTGATCCTTCTTATTTACTTTCCATGCTCATTTTGGAGTGTTTAAGTGCATATATGCAAGAGGCAACTTATATAACTTGAAAGTATAAAATTATCATGGATTTATGTGATCATTTTGATACAGTGATATTCAGTCGGGTAGATCCTGGAGGCAAATTTGTTTTGGGTTTCAGAAGGGCATCAGATTCTATAGATACACAGGTGTGACATAATTTTCTATTTTCCTATTTGTTGTCTCTTCTTCTGATAAAATTAACAAAATGATGATTATAGGATGCCTCTACTACCTCCAATGTTTTTTCAACAAAGGAGACAACCTTTTCTGGTGCATCTGCAAATATTCAATCAGGAAATAGTTATTGTGATCTTCTGCAGACAAGGAGAGGGAATGGTGAACCTTCCTTAAATGGATCAGAACGTTTTCGTTTGGGTACTGGAATTGCTGATTATCATAAAACTGAAAATTTTGAGATGGCAAACAACGATTTGGTGCAACAACCAAGCTTAGTTTCAGAGAAGAATCAAAATATTGGACATGTGAGTAAGAGGTCGCTCATACATAATGACGATGTCATGGAGTTGAGAGTTACATGGAAAGAAGCTCAAGACTTGCTTTGTCCGGCGCCTAGTGTCAAACCCAGTATTGTAACAATTGAGGACCAAGAATTCGAGGAATATGAGGTAAGTGTGAGTGACACTGTCATGGTTGTGCATCTTGTAATTGTAGTGCTTTGCTATTTCAAGGTGAATATGGAATGGTATATGGTGTGATATTTGTGCTTTGCTTTCAAATTTATGTTAGCTGATTGATATTTGTGTTTCATTTTATTTAGGAACCCCCGGTTTTTGGAAAGACAACTTCAACGAATGCTCACTCATCTGGGTAAGATTAAATACTGCATATTTCGCATCTTATTTGTATTTGATTCAGCAGAAAATTTTGATTTGGTGTTGACACTGCTAGAAATTTATGTAGTTTGATCTTGCCTCCAAATTTGTTCACACACATGACCATGATTTTTGTACTTTTCTAGATCCATGTTTTTTATCATTGCTTTAGAATTAAAACCATGTTTAAACTTTAGAAATCCTTTTATAATTAAGAATCATTGTTTATCCTTTTCATATTTCCAATACTTAAAGAATCATTTAAATTAAATCTTCCATCTCTCTTTAATATTGCTTACTTTTTTTTATATATATATATTTTCATTCCATTACCAACATTTCTGTGAGCCTGAAACTCACATAGTATACCACGTTAAGTAAGTACGTGGAGTTTGGAGATTATTGTGTCTTACTTATTTATTTATTCTTTTATTATAAATGCATATATAATTGTAAACCTAATTCACATCTAGTGCAATTGTAGATGTATAGGTCATTTTGACTAAATCGTAGAAATTCTTTATATTCTTATTACTTACTTTCATCTTGTAGTGCATTTGTGTTTCCTTAACAATTAGTATTAGAACTTAGGTTTTCTTCACATGAGTGGGAGTAATGGTAAAAGACAGGAAAGTGAAGATTGACAAGTTTGATGGAAGCGATTTCGAATTTTAGAAGATATAGATTAAATATTATCTGTATCAAAAAAAGTGGAACTATCCTTTGTTCGAGAATAAACTAGAAACGATATCTTAGGTAGATTAATAGTTGCTAGATCAACATGTTTTGTGCGTCATCATATTAACATTAGCGAAGAATGTTGCCTACAATATTGTTAACAAGAAGACGACTTATGATTTGATAAAGACATTATCAAACATGTATGAGAAACCATCAACATCAAACAAGGTATTCTTAATTTGTTAGTTAATAGGAAGATGCGAGAAGGTGCTAGTGTTACAGATCATATGAATAAATTTAATCCCTTATTGTCAAAATTAGTGTTAGTGGATATTAAATTTGATGATAAAGTACAAATTCTTTTATTGTTATCTTCATTGCCTGATAATTGGTCAGGAACTGTCACGGTAGTAGGAAGTACATATGAGACTACGAAATTAACCTTTGAAGGAATTAGGGATTTAATCTTTAATGAGAATGTTCATAGAAGGAATGCCGAAGAATCAACAAATTCCTTATTAAGCATCAAAGGTAGAGGTGGAAAACCTGAAAGAGGACAAAGCTCTAGGTATGAAAGATCAAAGTCTAAGAAGTTAAGATAGTCCACACCTCGCAAGGATATTACTTGTTGAAATTGTCACCAAAATAGACACTTTAGGAACTAGTGTACTACTCCTAAAGAAAAGAGCCATGACAATACAATGAATGCAACATAAGAAGACAGTGATGATGCATTGATATGTCATGTTGAGAGCAAATTTGAATCTTGGGTCATGAATTCTTGTGCATCTTTCCATACTTCTCCTTGCAAAGACTTGATAAAAAATTTTAGAAGTGAAAATTTGGGCAAAGCGTGTCTAGCAAATGATGAAGCTTTAGACATCGCAAATACGAGAGATATAAATCTTAAAACTTTTATGAGTATAGTATGAATTATGAAAGATGTCAGATATATTGCAGGACTCAAGAGAATGTTAATTTTTGTGGACATGTTGGATCTTCAAGGATATCGAGTCATATTCGGAGAAGGTTAGTGAAAGGTGGTGAAAGGTAATTTAATTGTTGCTTGTGGCTGGAAAAAAGAAACCTTATACATGACAAGATTACCTACAGAAGAAGTAAATTCAATTAGTAATGATGTTGGTCATTCTTTGACTTTGTGGCACCAAAGACTTGATCACATGAGTGAGAAAGACATGAATATACTAGTCTCAAAGAGGAAGATTCCAAAACTGAAAAAGGTAGAAATTGGTTTTTGTGAACCATGTGTATTTGGAAAGCAGAAGAGAGTTACTTTTGATAAGTTAGGGAGGATGCCCAAGGTATAGAAATTGAAACTTGTTCATACAAATGTGTATGAATCAACATCAGTCTCATAATTACGAGGATCACGATAATATGTTACCTTCATTGATGATTACACATAGAAAGGTATAAATTCATTTTTTGAAGCAAAAATCAGAAATTTTTAATACCTTTAAGAAGTGGAAAGTCATTGTTGAGAATGAGACAGGGTTAAAAATTAAATGTTTAAATTTTGATAATGATGGTGAATATAGTAATATTGAATTTGTTTATTACTGTATTGAGAATGAAATTAGAATGCTTAAAAATATTCCTGAGACACCTTAGTAGAATAGTATTGCTGAAAGAATGAACATGACCTTGAACAAGAGGATAAAAAGTATGAGAATTCATGCTGGATTACTGAAAACATTATGGGCAAAAACAGTGAGCACAACAACATACCTCATTAATTGAGGACTTCAATTCCATAGGATTCAAGATTCATGAGTAGGAATGATAAGGCAAGGATGTAAGTCTTTCTCATTTGAAAATATTTGGTCGTGTTTCTTATTTCATGTTAAAAATGTTGATAGGGACAAACTTGATCTGAAAGTAAAAAAGTGCATTTTCATTGGCTATGGAATAGATGATATGGGATATCACTTATGGGATTATCCGAACAAAAATATTATTAGAAGCATAGATGTTACATTTTAATGAAAATGCATTGTACAAAGACAAACATGAGACAAAAACTGAAGTTGAAAAGAATTCAACTGAGAAGAAAAATGTAGTGTTAGAGGACATTAAATAAGACAATCTTGCAAGAAAAGATGGAAGCTCAGGAGGCAGGACTGTTGAAGAGATCACTCTTGTCACTCCAGTAGTTGAAGTGAAGAGGTCTAATAGAGTTATTAGGCATCCTCACATATTTTATCATTCAGCAAATTACTTGTTGTTGATTGAAGATAGAGAATCTTTGTGTTATCATGAGGTATTATAGATGAATGATGATGTTCAATGAGAGTTAGCCCTGCAGGAGGAAATGTACTCACTTAAGAAAAATAAATTTTGGTGTTTGACTGACTTACTAGTATGAAAGAGGGCATTTCCGAACAAATGGGTGTTCAAGATCAAGGAAGAACATGATGACAGTAAAAGATACAAGACAAGGTTAGTGGTGAAAGAATTTTAGCAGAAAAAACAAGTATTGATTATAATGAGATTTTCTCTCTTATAGTTAAAAAGACTACCATTAGATTTGTATTGAGTATTATGGTTGTAGATGATTTACATCTAGACGACTAGATGTTAAGATAACATTCTTACATGGTGACCTTGATGAAAATATCTACATGATGCAGCCAGATAGTTTTCAGGTGGCAGGGAAAGAGAACTTGGTTTACAAGTTGACTAAGAGTTTGTATGGGTTGAATCAAACACTTAGACAATGTTACTTGAAGTTTAATAATTTTATGAATAGGAAAGAGTAGAAGAAGTGTTCCATGAATCAGTGTTGTTATATGCAAAATTTTGGTCCATCCTATATCATATTATTATTATATGTTAATGACAAGTTAGTTACATGTTCTAATATGGATGAAATTAATAAATTGAAGACACAAATGTCTGAAGAGTTTGGATGAAGGATTTTGGTATTGTAAAAAAGATTTTGGGCATGAATATCAACTGAAACAAATATAAAGGTTCCCTAATATTATCTCAAGAGAAATATATTGGGAAAGTGTTAGAAAAATTCAATATGCAGGATGTCAAAATTGTAAGTACACTTTTAGGGATTCACTTTAATTTCACTAAAGAGGAGTTATCTAAAATAGATGAAGACAAGATAACAATGACTAAGGTTCCTTATGCATTTGTAGTTGGTAGCTTAATATATGCAATGGTATGCACTAGACCAAACATTGCTCATGTAGTGGGAGTTGTTAGTAGATTCACGTCTTTTCCAGGAAGGAAACATTGAAAAGCTCTAAAGTGGTTGTTACGTACGCTACTTGAAAAATACTTTTAAAATTGCATTATGTTTTAGAAGAAATGATGTCATTTTAAAAGGATATTCCAATGTAGATTTAAAAAGTTGTTTAAACACAAAGAAAAGTACTACATGATTTGTATTCACAGTAGGTGGTATAACAATTAGTTGGATGTCTCGATTTCAAAAAAGCGTTGCACTTTCAACCATAAAAGTAGAGTACACTATTTCGAAAGCTAGTAAGAAAATGATTTGATTGATTAATTTTATTGAGGAGTTAGGCAAGAAACAATGTGATAGTGTTATTTATAGTAATAGTCAGAATGTCATTTATCTTGCAAAGAATCTTGTTTTTCATGCAAGAACAAAACACATTATGTATCACTTTATTAAAGAATTAATAAGTGATGATACTTTATTTTTGGAAAAGATCCTTGGATTAGAGAATCCTACAGATTTGTTTACCGTGGTGATTATTATTGATAAGTTGAAGTTTTGCATAACTTTAATTGACCTTCATGGTTAATTGTTGAGAAGATATTGCACTAGTTTAGAGTTGTTATAGTTTTAAGGTTTACTAGATTTACTTTTGAGTGTGTTTGACATGATTAGCCTCCAAATAAGAAATTATTAAGTATATGGAGTCTGAAGAATTATTAAACCTACCTATTTACTTATTTTTTTATTATAAATATTCATGTAATTATAAATTTAATTAAGTGAACAAAAATTGTTATCTAGTATAATTATAAACATAAGTCATTTTGACTCGAACACGTAATCTTGAATTGTTGTTATTTCCTTGTAATGCATTTGTGTTTCCCAATATATCAACCTTAATCATTTTATACATCTCATCCCAAATGACATAAATACTAACTTAACTTGTAATTTTAAATTTCCCTGTTCCAAAGATTCCTCCTTAAAAATAAAATGTTTATCTCCTTTGAATTACCACCACTTGCTTCATAGATTTAAAACTTCCTGCTTCTTACGAAAAATAAGTTAATTTTGAATCAAGAATTAAGAACCCTAAACCCTTGAAATCATAAGCATATAGAATCAAGAATGGACTAAACTTCATCGTTCAGCTCTCTAAAATTGAACCCACCATGAATTTTTCTAGGCTTATGATTGTGGTTGTTTCTCATTCCATTACTATGGTCTTATTATTGATTTTTGTCAGTGGAGCTAAATGTTAAGGTCATTTTCATTCTGTTTTCTTGCATTCAATGCAAAGAAAGTGCAGTAGATTGCTTCCATCGGTTTCTTACAGACCATGACTTTTCAGGTCTTCCAGCTTTGCGTCGAAGGAAATGAGTCCAAAGGATTTAGAAAGTATTCTGGTAACCATTAGAGGTGTGACGATCTCACTCTCTACTTTTTATATGTGCTTTGCATTTCATAAATTGTCCTGTTTGTAGAAACAGGGTTGGGTTGATATCTTTGTTAAATAATATTTTTGTTGTATATTCATATTTCAAAGTTGTTTGCTTGAAAATAGAAGTTGTATAGCTTCTACATTTTTGTGAATATTAAAATAACAGGTCATCCTTTAAAACACCATGTAACAATCTTTTGTTGGTAGAAATGTCCATGTGTCCTTTCAATGTTTTTAATTCATTATTTAGTCCAGTTTATTTAACTCAAATTGTATATTTTATTTATCTTTTCTAATTATTATTTTTCTTTTTATTATAATGCACCAATTAGATAATTAATTCTTGAATTTCCCTAGATTCTAAAAAGCAAAGAATTATAGAAAAACCTGAGTCAATTCTAGAACATTGGCGTTTTGGTTTAATGAACTACTTAGTACAGAAGTTTTGGATGATGATCTTGTTGACCCTACCTATTCATCAGCTGGAGCCACCGCCAAACATTCAAGGCATCGTTCTGGATGCACTTGCATTGTGTGCATTCAACCCCCACGTGGAAGAGGGAGACATAGAACAGCATGCGCTTGCCCTACTTGTGTGATGTATAAGAAGCAACGCCAATCAAAACAAGAAGCAAATGCTACCCAAAAAGATCATATTTATCACGGTGATCAGGGAGGTGGTGCAAGTCTCATGGAGAAAGAGGGAAGCATAAACAAAAGTTGTCTTAAGGTGGGTGAAATCAGGGCAGGACAAATAGACCTCAATAGTCTTCCCAGCCATGATGATGACATGCAAGTGGATGTATGAATTCACAAACTATCCTCAGCACAAGAATATATGGATCAAAATGGCATTAAACTTTAAATCTGGACTGTAGTTTAGATTACTACTTTTTTCTTAATCTTCTTTGAAAGCTGAAAAATGACTTAAGTTAGATTTGTCCTTTATGCGAATGCAATAAAGATTGCTTTCCTTTCCTAAGTAGTGGTAAAGATGACGAGAAGTAGAATTTGACTGATCTCATTTATTTTTGAAGTTTTCTCCTGTAGAAAATGATTTGGTCAATTTGTTTGCATTTTGTACAAGAACAAAGGCTAGCATGGGAGACTTGCACATGCCACCCGAGATAACTTGATTTGGATAATTAGATTTATTTGGGTTTGAATTGAGGGTGATGATATTTTTCAGTTTTATTTCTATTTTCTCCTATCTTTCCAAATTTATCTCTCTTCCTCTACGTGGGTCTTCTCTTTTTATGCATCCTAGACTCCTTTACCATTCCTTCAATTGTTCTTCTAACTTGACATTAATAGATAAGACTAGTCAGTCTATAAAGTTGGAAGTGCACACATATATAAGGAAAACGTTCATTGAAGTCAGTCAGAAAGAGATTTTTATCGTAGTAAATGGAGCAGTGAAGGGTGAAACCTAAATAGAAAATATATTAGTGTTTTTTTTTTTTTTCAAATAAAAGATGTTCGTTTAAAGAGGTTTATTCACCCTAGAACAATATAATGAAAGGAAAAAAGTTATTTAAATAAATATATTATTTGTTAAGTGTTGGAAGATACGCATTTGTGAAGAAGTTTTTTTATTGATAAATTTCTGAGAATAGCTTCTATTGATAGATTATATATTTGACGTTCGAGAGTATAAACGAATTATGTTGAATCATATTTGATCAAATTCATCACCTAATTTAATAAAAAAATATTAGATTGGGTTGGCTATTTTTTTTATTCAATCTAAGTCATCAATTGAGTTAAATTAATTTTATTATTAATTTAAAATAAATGTATATTTTTTATTTTAAAATATATTTTTTAGATTTTTTTTTAAATTACTATATTATTTATTATTTTAATAATTTAATATTAAAAATATAAAATTAGTTAATATAATAACTAAATAAATTAAAAAATAGTTATTATGATATTATTATTATTAATATTATTTAATAATTATGATCCAATGGATTGAGTTGAATGTTGAATTAAGCATAAAAACTCTTCATCCAACCTATAAAAAATTGAATTAAGTTAAATTGAGTAGAATTTGACCCCCAAAAAAAAAAAAGTACAACTCAACCTATTTTGATTGCACCGAGTTATCAAATTACCCATCAATTTGAGAACAAATATATTTAGTTTTGAAACTCATCAAAATAGAGAAAATGCTATAAAGAGAAACCAAAAGAGCATAAACTTGTTTAAAACAAGTGGTTGAATGTGTTATGAATGTAAAAACGTGTCTCATTGATATGAATGATGAAACTAATAGGAGTCCTAATTAAAAGATATATTTCCTAATCAAGATTATTATTAAATTACTCATGACAGAAAATTCTCCTACTTATAAAAAATTATATTTGAGGGAGAGGGTTAGACATCAGATAATAAATAGTAAAATTAAATAATATAAATAAATAAAACTCTTAAATCTATTATCTTAATATTTTAGATAGAAGATATTGTCATATTTTGTTATAGATTTTATCTTGTTTTCTTTAACTAAATCATATTTAACATGTATTTTATCTCTAAAATTTATTTTTTAATAAAAAAATATGTTGATATCATTAATAATACAACGCTTCAATGAAAGAAGATAAAAAAAATATTTTTACTTTGAAATAAATAATATAATTAAGTATTATTTTCTTATGACAATTACTGTCAGATGACTTAAGTAACCATATTAAAAAGAATTTAAGCCAAAACTAATAAATAATACCAAAAATATAAAGAATATAAAGGTAACGTTGTGCATTAAAGGTATTGAATGAAAAACGATGAATAGTTTACAAATTCTGTAAAGAATAAAATTGGTTTGAGTAGTATACCTTCCGCCTCAACATCATCAATTCTAAAATATTTTACGTAGATACCATAGTCCTACTTTTGAATGTTTCAAATAACTAACTGGATATATCTCTTGGAAGAGGAAAATTATATTTTCACATCTTCTTTCAGTCAAAATATCTATTCACCAACCCAATAAATTTATTATTGATATATAGTTGAATTGAATTGCAGATGAATTATATGGAAGTGTGGATTTGTCCACTTATAATTGTTTCTTAGAAAATGGCTACAACCAATGAACAGAAAACTTCAACCTATTGTCTCTACCCAACAACTTAAGTTTCGACCGGCCTCAAAACACGTTACCTTGGCCACATGTGGTCGTCCTTATTTTCCATAGCACCGAATTTGTCACTTTGTTTCATCCTTTGCTTAAATATGTTGTTTATAAGCTATAGCTACACCTACACTCTTATCTCATCTTATCTTTTAACCTCCAATTCTAATGGGTGATCACATGAATAAGGATATGCAGGAAAAACCAATCTTAGCAGCTCTTGAAGATTTATACCAAGGAATCCCAGATGAATCCGTAAACCTCACCTTTCAAGACCTTGCTGAAGTTAACACATCAGAAAAGAGAAAACCCACAGCAACTTCAACAACAACAACCATAGCACCTTCAAGCTCCCTAGCCAAACTACCTAGTCTTGATTTCACCAAAGGCTTGCAAGGTTGTAGTCAACACCGCGTACAGGACTTTGGCTATGGAGAGTCATCACCGTGGGATTATCCTGGTCATTTTAGCCACCATGCTGGTGGTGGCGCGCAAAGACAAATCCCTCAATGCATGGCCAATGGAGATGATCATTCGAAGTATGGTGTGAGCTTTGATGGTGTAAGTGTTGCTTCGGGAAGAGCTACTCGAAGACGTCGACCTGGGATTCCACACTCAAAGATTTGTGCAACTTGTAATACCTATATTTACCTATTCCGTACTAGATGTCTGGTACGTAATTAGATATATGAACAAAATAAATTTCTGAATTTCTAAACAACAAAACAAATATCTTTTACAAAATATATATCTACTTATCTATTTTGTCTTGATACATTAACCTATATGTGTTACAGAAAACAATATATATAAAAGCTGCAGGGAGACATAACGTAGATAATATTGCTGGCTATATATAGTTGCACAATTCAATCCTTTTGCTGATAATGATTTTAGTGTATGCAGGTGTGTGGCAGGGTTTATTGCAGGCAATGCGTAGAAATAGGAATGGGAGAGATGGTAGAAGGAAGAAAGTGCATTGAGTGTCTTGGTTTGAGATTCAGTCATAGGTAACTATTTTATTTTTTGTTTTACTTTAAAAAGGGGTAAAATGTCGCCAATGTTTGAAGTAAATAACATGCATAATAGTCAAGTTATTCCAATTTAATTATTTTTATCCAATTGGTAAAAAGGAATTTGATTGTATAAAATGTTTACTGAAATTTATGTGTTGATTAAAGGAAACTGACTGTTTTTATTTTTTTAATACAAAGTAATAATATTATTTTTAATTATGATATGGACTTTAATAATTAAAAATAGATAAATGTCTATCTCATTTATAATATCATTTTGTTATATATCTAATAAAAAGTGATTTAATAAATTCAATATCTCTAGACTATGATAAGTTGAAAAAATATAAATATATATTTATTTTTTAATATTGTATATGATGTATATCTTATCTGTAAATCCATATTTGTACAATTATGTTTATAATTAAATAATAATAAAAAAATATAATTATGTAAATTTTAACAAAATATTGTCATTTTTTAAATTATACTTTATCAAAAAGATAAAAAATAAAAATATCAACATGAATCACCTTTGATAATATTTTAGTCAATTTCTACTTAATAATTTGTTGAATTATCTTATCTCATGTGCAAATTTGAATTTAATAGTAAGATTATATATATATATATATATATATATATATATATATATATATATATATATATATATATATATATATATATATATAAACCCACCTAAAGATTAATTGAAGTTATTCTTTTCTTATCTCATTGAATCTCTCAAGCCGAAAAGCTTTATTAAATTTAATTTTTGTCTCATTTTGTTTTCTTTACACATTAAATTAATATATATAATCACCGTAGATCATTGTTGTCTCAGTGGAGACGGCATCATTTAGCTTTTTTTCTTTGCCGTCCCATTATACCAGAGAATAAACAAGTGAAACATCTGAATCAAAGTTAGTCTCAATCAATGTTGCATGCATAGTCCTCTCACCAACAAAGACAACCAAGTGCGTCCAGAACAATATAACTTCAGAGAATATGACACATTTTCCATCTTAGCTCATATGTATTCTAAGAATTGTTAAAATTAACAGTTTGTTTCTGAGTATCATCACGATGATAAATTTTCTTTAAACAAATCTTTAAGAGTATATTATGTAAATTTTTTGTCACCCAATAATTTGATTTATGGCACAGGTATATAGAAAGAGCAGGAAATGTAGGGTGCTGTAGTTGGAGGTATCCAAAGACATTGAAACAGGTTGAGTTAAAGTGTGCTGAGAAAGGACCAAGAAGAAGTGGAAAATATGGTCACAGTGGGATGCCAAACTCAAGATCACTAAGTCCAAATGTTAGCCCAAGAAGGAACCATGGTCATGACCACTCTTTTGTCATGTCCTCGTCCTTTTCTCCTTTTTCCCCACATTACAACCTCCCTTTATAAAATAGGAACATTCTAACGCCAAACAATATATCCTAGTGGATCAGCTGGTCATCATTTATCTTCACAATTTGTTTTCTTTTAACTTTATTCTATGTTGTTAATTTAATTGTTGATCTAGTTTGATTGAAAGCTTATATACGTTATAGTTCTTCTACTCATACATATTATAAATATTTCAGACTTATATAAGAAGCCTTTTATATAAGTTTTATATCAATTACAATAATGTTTCATTTAAAGAACAGCTTAATTTATCACCATATTATATAATTTTATAAGTGTAGTACTTTCAATATAACATACCAAATTAAATAGTTTATACTTTCAATATATGCACATATAAATAGAATATAATTTATGAATCCAGATAAGAAAAGAAAGAAATAAATAAATGAAATAGAACAAAAATATCTTTCTTTTCTTTAGAAAAAAAAATGACATGAATATTAAAAAATAATAAATAAATAAATCAAAAGTATATATTTATTCAATTATAAAATTATATATAATTATTAGTTAATTTTCCAATGAATAAAAAAAAATCTTTAAATCAATACCTTGAAATGAAAATCTAATTTTTTAAATATTTTGACATTTAATAATAAAAAAATTATCATAAAATTATATTTAAAAAAAAATTAATAAAATAATATCATATTAAAAAAAATAGAATATATTAAATTATTCATATGATTTTCATAAGTACTTTCATATTCATTTCACTTTATCAAAACAACATAATAAAGGTTAATGTACATATGCAAATTGAAATTATAAATATAATAATAAATAAGTTAATAAATATTTTTGTGAGATAATAATTATATATAGAAAGTAAAACCCATAAATCATGATAGAAAATGATATTTTTTTACTAACTAAAAAAATTATTTATTTATTTTCATCTTTCTGTACTAAATACATTTTACTCTCCATCTGGAAAAGAGTAGACCTTAAAGTCGTTTAGCAACTAAAATTAAAAAAAAAATTAAACATATAAATCCATACTATTGAGGAAGGAAGTGAATATTACAAATACATGGATGTAAAACTATTAAACCCTATAAGAATACATAAAATGAGACATGTGGTCGTGAAAAATTCTTACACTGAAACGAATAAATACATATATTGATAAAATAACATAAAAATTTTATAATAAATTTCTTCAAATCTATTGTGTTTCATTTAATTTAAATAACTCAATAAATCTACTCAAATTACACATTAAATGTAAATAAAATCGATCCAATTATATAATAATAAATATAAATAGAAATGTTAATTATATAAATGTTTTATTTAAAATACTTTTTCCAAAAGTGATAATTTTAATTAATTAATTCAAAATAAAAAATTATAAAAAATATAATTAGATATTCGTAAAACTAAATGCATAAAATAGGTTTTAAGCGAAAATTTAAAAAGTAACAACATTTGAAAACAAATATTTCAAAACACTCTATTCATACTTTCTTGAACTTCTCACCTACATACTTAAATATAGCTAAAAATCCCTTTCTGAAGGTCAAAACATCAATTGGCACAGTGTATAGTGACATATCACTGGACCTTTTCAACCCTGTCACATGATTGTGCATGTGGTGTTACCTGAGGTTTGAAAATGATGTACATAAATTATGTCTGTTTATATAAAATTCTACATCATCAAAATTAAAAAGGACTTTTTGGACAACAACCAATTAAATATCATTTGGGCCCATAATATATATAAACATCTATTATTTAATTCACCTCATTTTTTTTCCACAAGGCGGGGATCACAAGGTAGTTTATTAAATTATAAAGTAATTTTTTTAAAAGGATTTAATTGAAATTTCCTTAAAAATAATAACTTTAAAAGTAAATCCGTTTGTTTGTTAATATATTTTATATTATTATTTCTTAAAATTATTTTTTATCGTTTAACATATATTATTTTTTATTTTTTAAATATTTTTCTTCTTTTCTTTTCTTTAAAGTTATATTATTTTTCTCCATTTTAACATAAAAATAATTATAAATAAAAAAATCTTTATATATAAATATATTCATAGATTTTCTTTAAGAAATTATTGATTATATATATATATATAATTTTATTATGATTATCTGCATTTTCTATTAATGAATAATGAGAAGGAAAATTTTAAATTAATTAAAAATAAATATTAATTTATTATATTGATAACTTTTTTAAAGAACTTAATTAAATTCATTATTTTTATTGAAATATGTGATTACATTAAAAATATTTTATATAAAAATTAGTGGGGAATTACTTTTCATAAAACTATTTATATTTTTAAAATAGCGTTGAATATAATAATATACAATTATTTAACAAACATATTTCAAAGTCAAACTTGTATACTGTTAGAATTTGTTTTTCATGTTCATAAATTAAAGAGAAAAAAAAGGGACAATGTTATGTATTATAAATCTTCCTTTAAATATTTGAGTGGTGAATTTACTTATTTATATTCAATGGTATAATTTTTTTTGTATGAATCTGTAAAATACTTATCAAATGTAACAATATATAAATAGATGTTAAACAGATTTATATTGATACATTTCAAATAAGTTGATTTAAAAAACACTCAACATTATATATTTATTATTATTCTTATTATTTAAGTAATATAGTTTTTTATTCTTATCAATTGGATATGTTAGAAGTGGAGAGAAAGTAGGAAGAGAGTTCAATTGTGTTGTGTGACAAAACTACAAGCTTTTGCCAAACAGATGCAAGATCCATCTTCAAACCCTAATTCCAATCCCAATCCTCACAATGCCAATGCGGCATCCCAGCTACCACGACCGCCGCCGTCCACGGCGGCCACCACCGCCGGCGCCGGCGCCTCTTCGTCCTCGCTCTTCCCGCGCTCCGGCGGGTCTCACCACCGGCGAGCCCACTCGGAGATGAGTTTCCGGCTGCCGGACGACTTGATGGACCTGTCGCCGTCGGATCCGTTCGCCGGCGGGTCATCAACGGCGAGCATGGAGGAGATCGGATCCGAGGATGACCTGTTCTCAACGTACATTGATGTGGACAAACTCGGAGGCTCGAACGGGTCGGGCACCGCCGGAAACGGAGCGGATCCGACCGGAGAACGGGAGAAGAGTCCCACGAGGGCGCGGCACCGGCACAGTAGTTCGGTCGATGGCTCTTCGTCGTTCGGCGAAATAATGGAAGCGAAGAAGGCTATGCCACCTGATAAGTTAGCTGAGCTATGGACAATTGATCCCAAGCGTGCTAAGAGGTTCTTAATTTCGATCTGAAACATGCTCCTTTCACTTTGATTTTTGGTTTCTAGTGATTAGTCTTCGACGTGAGGTGTGAATTTGTAAACAGTAGGGTTTTTATCTGTTTGAGGTTTTACTTTAATTAATTTTCGAGTTTCAAATTTAATTGGTTTATGAAAATGAATTGAGCCTTTTTTAAGGGCTGAAACTGCTCGACCTCTCTGTTGTGATATTTCGATGATGTTTGTGTGAATCGATAAGTTCTAATTTATGAATAATTAGAGTCCAGGGTTTTTAATTGCAGTTGTGGTCACAGTTTCACAGCAATTCATGACATTGCGAGAAAATTCAGGCAAATGTGACCTTAAATTTCATGGTTGTGAGTAAAAGAACCTTGTCGTGGCCAAAATTATGGCCATGATGTGGTAAAAAAATATTCACGTTGTGACTGAAACTGATTATGCGGATGCATTTTTAAAACCTTGTTAGAGACCATGAAGAATCTTCTTGTCGAGTGCAAATCATTTAAATGTTGGGAGAAAGGGTTTATGTTAAAAACAGTGCTCACTTGTTTGATTAAGTGATTGCCATGAATTTGATTTTGTGTATTGTTGTTCTCATGATGTTGTTGTTGTGAATAGAATACTTGCAAATCGGCAATCTGCTGCTCGATCCAAAGAGAGAAAAGCGCGTTATATACAAGAACTTGAGCGCAAGGTTCAAACTCTTCAGACGGAAGCCACAACTCTTTCTGCCCAGTTGACATTATACCAGGTTTGTGTTGACATTCGTCTGAAACTGAAAGTACTTTTAGAAGTTCCATTCTACAGACTAGACTCTTCTTTGTTAAATGGATTCCCTGATGCTGCTTGGTGCCACGATTTCAACCGTATCATGACATATTTACATTTACGCCAAAAGTATTGTAAAATTTGCTCCGACTTGATTTTAGTATACTAATCTAGTTTTTTTCTTCTATATGCTGCATATGATTATATTTTTATAATTTCTGTATGTGCTCGTTTCCTCCAAATATTTGCTTGAACCATAGATATCTTTGTGGACTTTGATTACAAAAATATTATATTTTGGATCGTTCTGTTTGCATTTCTCTTCTGGAATTCCTCCTTTTATACGGAAATATAAAATTTTATAGAATTTTACATAATGTGATTTGTGGGTAATGGTGCTTTGTTTTTGAGGCTTTACTGTGGTTGACTTTAGTTTCTATGCTTATACAAACCAATTGTGAGCTAAATTATAATGACTCGAATATTTATGATTCTTTATAGAGGGACACAACAGGCCTGAGTACTGAAAATACAGAGCTTAAGCTCCGTCTGCAAGCCATGGAGCAGCAGGCACAGCTTCGTGATGGTAACCATCACTTTCTTGATATACATTATGTATTTTACTTTTATTTACAATTATTTTTTATGTGACTTTTAAAGTGCGTTATTAAGATTAGCTAATAGTACTGAAATTAGTTTCTGATATGTTGTAGCCCTTAATGAAGCATTGAAAAAGGAAGTTGAGAGACTTAAGGTTGCTACTGGTGAGATGATGAGCCCCACTGAATCCTTTAATCTGGGAATGCACCATATGCCGTTTACAGGATCAACTTTCGGTTCAATCCCGTCACAATCAGGTCCTTCTGGTCACCAGAACATCCAGTTGTCACCATTTGGTCACTCCCCATCCACAATGCGGACTCATCAACTGCATCAAACAACTTCTCATCCACTTACAGATTTATTGCAAAATGACCAGCTTGGTCGTTTCCAGGGGCTTGACATTAGTAGCAAAGGATCAACTCTGGTGAAGACTGAAGGCCCCTCGCTTTCTGCAAGTGAGAGTAGCACTACATTTTGAATTTGACTGAAATCACTTGACCTGCTGACTTTACCATTGCACTCATTGTTCGTAGTGTTGACGTCTAGTCAACTAATGGAGGTACCTTATTTCATGATTAAGATTTGAGGATTAATTCTTAACTATTTATTCTTAGGGATGCTCACCAAAAAGGGGAAGCACCCTTGGGGTTTTGTTGTGAAGTTCACACAATCGTGTTTCAGCATGGCATTTGGTGTATCTGGGCGCTCGTATATTGGGAATGAAAGGTCATTCCCATTGTATCTTTGTATGTTGGGATATGTATGGATCCTCTGGTCTTTCGTATCATCGTTTACGTGTTAGCATGTACACTGTGTGATTTATTGTTGTGTTTCACTTCATTCATAGTCCCAGATGGACTTTTTTTTTTTTTTTACATTTAGTTACTTAGTTTAGATTTATTCATAGTCGTTGTACAATCCAAGAGTTTTTGGATACCTGTTGTATTAAAAGCTTCTTCTGAGAACAGACCTTTTTCTAATAATTGGAATTGCTTAGTTTCTTTCCTCTGATTTTGGTAGTAACTCTAATCTAAGGAGGACGCATATATTAATCAAAATATAAATCTTTGTAATAGAACACGTTTGATGTACCATATTTAGCCACCATATAAGTGAAGTATTATGAGTAATTATCCAAGCTTCTGTAAGCTATAGCTCTGTTGTAACTCCAGCATAACCTTACATTTTTCTTTTCATATATTGAGTTTTCGGCTTTGCCAGTTTCAACATCCGTGTGTTATGTAATTTTTTGAAGTTTCTATTTTGTTCTTTCTCTTTGTCATCATCGTGTGATGTGATCTTATAATACTCAGTGGAATGACTTTCAGATGTGACGTTCCTAACATGGAACAATGAATCTCAATAAAATATTGTACCAAAACATTTTAATGCAGCCATATTGGTATTAGATGCATAATCAATGGTGCCGGCAGAAGGCATAATTTGAAACGATTTTATGTTGCTCAAGTGGGTCCATAGTAGGCTACGGTACAAACAAGACATCCTTGTCAACAAAAATCAAGTCTCTTCTTCTTCCTACACTTTAAAATTCTCAGCCTGCACTCTCTTTTTAAGTTTAAAATAATGTTTAAAAAAACCCAAATACTATCAGTCATCACTCTATTATTTCGAGTTATGTTTTTCAGAATACAATGAAATTGCTTTGAATTTTGCAGTACACTTCTCGCATTTTGGATTTGTTAATATGGTATGTAACAAGGATGAGAAATGAAGTAGTAATAAAAGAATAATAATATTGAAATTTAGCAAATAATAAAAGAAAAAGAGGATACAGGATGAACTTGTTTAGGTAGGCAGTGTCTCTTAAACAGGCGAAATACTCTACTGATTTATTTTGAATATTTTAAAATAAGTTAATTTTTCTGTTTACAATTTTTTATTTTTATAAATTTTGAAATCGTTCTTTTTATTTTTAATAATTTTAAAATTTGAAATCACTAATTTTAGTTCTTAATACCATTTTACATATTTTAAACAAAATTAATTATTACTTGCTAATAGTATATCATAAAGTTATTATATACTATTTAAAATAATTACGTGACTTTTCATTCAACACATAAACAACTCACGAAATGATTAAAAGCAATAATTTTTTTATTTCTAGAGAGACTAAAAACAGAAAAAATAAATTAACGGAAACCAAAATCAAAATAGATTTATCATACAGAAATTAAAATCATATTTAAGTCTATGTTATACATATGACAATTTAATTTAAGTTTATTATATATTGTTTGAGAGTTATAAAAAATAAAATTGAGTGTAACAATAAATAATTAATAATTAATTTAGTTTATGTTAAACCAAACTTCATAATATTTGACATTCAAAGAATACCTCATAAATTTATTAAGTCAGAAAATTTTTACATTAAAAGAAAAATAACAAGTTTTATTAATTAATGTTATGTTGCTCACAACTAAAACTCTAATTATAATATTGTTTATTTTAATTCAAAATTTTAAGGAGTTTAATTACATTAAGACAATCATAATTAAAATAGATTTGAAAATCCATAATCCTCTTACGTATTCATTTTAAAATTTAAATCATAATATGTAATTATAATATATCTAATTAAAATATTAGATACAGAGAGGTGCACGGTGAATATTAGTTTAGAGCACTAATCTGGACAGTCACCTGCACTAAACGGCTATTTTATCCTTTGTAGATATTTTGTAAAATATTTAATTATTAATAATTATTTAGTTAATTATTAAATATATATGATAAATTCATACGTTTATTACTGATTATATTTCACATATTAATTTATTAGTTAACAATTATTAAATTTTACTTATCCTTTACCTTCTCAATTTATTAATTTGTTAATAATAATAATAATAATTATTATTATTATTATTATTATTATTATTAAATTTATCATTTATTATTTTAAACTTATTAATTAATTACTAGTCACTAATAGTTATTAAATTATACTTATTAAAATTTTACCAGTCATTACATTTATTCATTTATTACTCATTATTATAAATAACTTATTAACTTTATACTAATTGTCAATTTTTTTAATAATTATTCATCTTAGTTAATTTACAATACTAATTATTAAATTTATTAAACTATAACTGATTATGTCAATTAAAATATTATTTTATTATTATTTATGAAGTTCTATTATTAAATTTGTTAATTTTGATTATATTAAACTTATAATTGATTACTAATTGTCAAACTAGTTAATAAATATTAAATTAAACTTATCCATTAGATCAGTGATTATTAACCTCATTGCAAATTATTAAATGTATATGAAAAATCAAATAGTCACTTATTATTATTATATTTAACTTATTAATTTTATTCAATATAAAATTTATTAAACTTACCAGTTATTTTATTCTTCTTTTATATTTATAAAAATTGTAATTTCGGTTTAGTCCTCCATTTTATATACGTTATCAATCAACCCTTGACCTAGCACACTCCTTCAAAGAACTATAAAAAAATTAATTAAGAGCATTTATGAAGCAATAAATTAAGAAAGAGAATAGGTATGATTAGACAAAATTGTTTTTAAATGTTATAAAAAAACTCTAAACAATTAACTTAATCACAAATTAATTTGTAAAAATTCTTTTATAAAAATAAATTTTTATTTTTCATTTAAATGTATATAAATAACTCATCCATGGTATCCAAAAACCACACAACAAAATCTGATCTCTAATCAGTTCTCTTTCCTCTGTAGAAGAAGCCATGTTTACTAAGAGAGTGAGGCCTGTAGTTAAGACCCACAAGTTGGTGAGGCAGGGAACATTGAAGAAGAAGAAAAACATGGTGAAGAAGTTGAAAGAATTGAAAGTGATCGAGTGGGCACAAGAGGAACAAAGAAGGATGGAGATAAGAGAAGAGAGAAGAGTAGAGGAAATGATCAAGGAGGCCAAGAAGGAACTGAGAATGCTGAAGGAGAAGAACAGAATGAAGGAGTTGTTCCTTGACGTGCTTCAAGTGCATCATGAGACAGGACACTTTCCTAATAATCTCAAAGATTTAACCAAGAAAGAGCTTAAAGGGTTACTCAATTTGATTGACCTCAAGATGAAGACAATTAGGGACCAGATGGATGGATTAAAGATTGATGAAGCCCCGGTGGCTAAGGAAGGTCAAGATTATTATTAATGCCATTCAAGATCAAATAATTCTTCATTTTATGACTTAATCAAGATTAATTAGTAGTTTTAAATTTACAGATGTTAAGCTCCATATATGTTCACTATATGTGGTATTTAGAAGCATGAACATCATCAATCTATATTATGTTATTCAAATTTGAGTGTCATGTTTTTTACCTCAAACTGAGTTTCGTGGTGCTTTTCGGGTGGGTTCACAGTAGTGAATGGTTCAATTCAAAAGAACACAAGCAAGATGAACGGGATAAATTTATCTGTTTAAATTAATTTTAATAAATAATATAATTTTTCAGTGTATTTCCTGATCTATGTTTTACTACTGCATTTTACAAGCTCACTTTCTTCACAAACTCCAAGGTTAAAAATGGCGGACAATTTTCTTTTGTCTTTTTTATAGGAAAAATAATTTGATACTTAATCTGATATGACAATGTGACCATTTTGGGACAATCCCTTGTGAAGGGCACTGTCATTGATCCCTAAACCCACTGCAGAAATCGAACAAAACTGCTTGTACGTCTGTTATATTAAATAAAAGGGTGTGTATGTCTCTGTATTTATGTAGTTCAGATCTATTTTTTAAAATCTCTCGTCATCTTCCAGGTATATTTATATATATCAAATAACTTCATATTTTTTTTTAACAAACAACCATCCAATAATATAATAATAATTTAAATTTTTCCTGAGAAATGACGACAATGATATGATGAGATTTTGATTCACTAACATCTAAAAGCAATAGAGTGCTCCCAACTTTTCAAGAAAACAAATTGTTAGTACGTTTATCCACGTGCATTTTGGGTGTCAAAATACATAATCAATGATGGAGTATGAGTAATTTCCATCTGATATGATAAAAAATGTGTGAGCATGCACATCAACCCAATCATTCTCGAGTTCTTTTTTGACACACAACCATGATTTGGCAAGGCTGTTTCTAATAAATTATGAACCAAAAAGACTTTAATTATGTTGAAGAAACCCCATGGTTAATGACACATAGCCTATGTAATCCTGTCTCTGTGCCAAACTGTGAAGCACATAGAAGATAGTATCGTCTTTTGAGCGTGGAAATGGGAAGCATATATCATGGAAAGGCCCTCAGATGCTCCTGCTTTTGGTAGCCCAGATAGACAGATACCCTTTCATGTGCAAAGATAATGTTAGGTTTATGATTTCCATAATTTAAGACCCTACCCTACCCAATTTAATTGGGAATGCATTTATAGCTATTGTCGCTCGAACTCAAAACACCTACCACCACCCACTGCTCTACCTATCAATAACTTTGTTTAAATATAACAAGGCTAAAAGTGATCAAGAATTCAAAGTTAACTCTATTTTTCTATGGATACAGATTTGATTCTTTTTAAAGTCTCAAAATTCTTATAAACAACCCTAGGAGATTCCCTAACATTTATGTACTAGATCAATTGCTGCTGTCAAGTAAAAACTATTTGCAATTTAAGTTTGATAATAACATGTCCTTGACGTTTTGTTCCATAATTTTGAGAATCTCTCCCTATTCTCTCACTCTTGTCTAACCAACACTACCCTAAGCTCTTAACAATTTTAATGAAGAAAAAGGAGAGAGAAAAAGAAATGCCAAAGTAATGGCTAAAAGTAATATGATAACAGGCCTATAAAGTTTGTTGGGCCGTTGGGGATGCATGTGCTGGACTCTGGCCTACTAGATTAGCGGTTGGGAATCTCAACCAGAACCTTCGCATGTGCACATGATTTCGCACTTGTTCTCTGCCTTTAAGGAAATAACCCTACCATTGTGCTTCTTAGTAACCAAATCATGCTTATAAATACACGCCCCCCTCTATTGGCCACATCATTCAACATTACAGAAGAGCAAATTAAACTCACATTCCCCTGTTCAACCAAGAAACTTCCAATGGCACTCCATGCATATTCCTTTGTGCTACTTCTTTTCATTGTCATCTTCATAGACATACACTTGAAGGGTGCCTTTGCTGACTATGCCGGTTGGCAGGGTGGTCATGCCACTTTCTATGGTGGTGGTGATGCTTCTGGCACAATGGGTGAGTTTAGCTTCTATCTGTATCTATCTTCAGACAAAATTACTTAGTATTCAAACAACTACGTGTAAGAAACATTGACAAATTGAGACTTTTAGTCAACATTATTACGTCTTCAATTTCTTACACATTATTACGTCTTCAATTTTTTAGAGCAAACTTTAAGTGATCTTCATATTGCTTTCTAATTCGAATTGAAGTTTTCATTAGTGATCTGGGTAATAAAAGTTTGCAATACAAGCCAACAAAGATTACCATACTAACTTTAATTATAAAATAGCATAAACATCCATAAAACTTTATCAAAGTTTTTTGTCTTTGTTTTCTAATTTTTAAATCTTTTGATTGATGCATGCAGGAGGTGCATGTGGGTATGGGAATTTGTACAGTCAGGGATATGGAACTAACACTGCAGCTCTAAGCACTGCTTTGTTCAACAATGGCTTGAGTTGTGGGGCGTGTTTTGAAATGAGGTGTGATGATGACCCAAGATGGTGCAAACCTGGCACCATTGTTGTTACTGCTACAAACTTTTGTCCTCCAAACATTGCGTTGCCAAACAATAATGGTGGTTGGTGCAACCCTCCTCTACAACACTTCGATATGGCAGAACCAGCCTTCCTTCAAATTGCTCAGTATAGAGCTGGAATTGTGCCTGTGGCATTTAGAAGGTACGTGATCAAGCCATAAACATGGTAACATTCTCAAGCTTAAGAGGTTCCATTAATGCCCTTATAGTTAAATATACAATTATCACTTATATTAACTTGTTAATTCAATAGTAAATTTTGAAAAATAATTTCCCAGACATAAGATCATGTACTAATAGTGCATTTGTCCGTTTCAAAATATATTTATTGATAAAAAGTTATTTTGAATATATGACATTTATAACATTTTTATCTATTATACTTCTATATTTTAATTGTATTTATAATAAAAAAATATATAATAATTTATTAAGAGTAATTTTAGATTAAGAGAATATTAAAATAATAAAGATATTAATAATAAACAATTAATAAATTTATTAGAAATAATAAAATTAATATTTTATCTTAATTTATAAAACTTAACTTTAAAACGTGAAAAAAAACTTTTTCATATTCATCATCATTATTAATATTATTTGTAAAACCTCCATTTATAAATTTATACATTTGAATTTGTAATTATTTAAAGGACTAAATTAGTTGATTGAAAAAATTAAAATATTATGATACTAGTGTTAAAAAAAACTAGTGTTGAAATATGTCATTATAATTATTTTTAAAATAAAATAAATAGGTCGCTCTATGAATGCCTATTAGTTAAAATATTTAGTAAATAATTAAAAATAGGTTAAAAGTGCGTTTGCACTATGCTGATAAAACATGGTTTGATAAACAGAAACGCAATTTTTTTTTAACTTTTACTTAAACCACAAATGAAACGCAAAATTATGTTCGAACATAATTTTGCTATATTTATGAATGAGAAGCTCTACTTGCATTTTCCACACTAAGTTTCTAACAACTTGTATGTAATGTTAATAATATTAGTCACTAAAAATTTTATGATCCCAGCACTATTGTGAAAAAAAAAATTTCATTACTCAATTTATCACTGAGTCATTATTTCTTTAATATTTGATTTCTTTTAATAAATAAAAGTTTCACCCTTTATGATCTGTACACCGAGAAATTGAAGTATAGGCACTAATTCCATAAATTATCTTAACACATTTTAACGATTATAAAAGAAGAGAGAGAGAGAAACCAAATTTATCCAAAATTTTTTCTGTACTTGAGATCTTTAATTATTTGATAATGATAGGAGAGTGCAGATATAATTTGAGCTACCTAGTTCTAGATTCCTACCAACCTTCTTACAAACCCAGTTTTTGTTCTCTTATTTGGTGATAATGACAGAGTGCCCTGTGTGAAAAAGGGAGGAATAAGGTTCACAATTAATGGCCATTCTTACTTCAACCTGGTTTTGATCACCAACGTCGCGGGTGCAGGGGATGTCCATGCAGTCTCCGTCAAAGGGTCCAGAACTAGCTGGCAACCAATGTCAAGAAACTGGGGGCAAAATTGGCAGAGCAACTCCTACCTCAATGGACAAAGCCTCTCTTTTCAAGTTACCGCCAGTGACGGTAGAACTGTGACAGCCTACAACGTGGCACCAGTTAACTGGCAGTTTGGTCAGACCTTCCAAGGGGGTCAGTTTTAGGAGAAATCACATGTTATTAACTTTATTTTAGTACATTAAAACATGTGATTAGGTAAATTATGCGAAAATTAATCCCAATGGTGCAATAATTTCTCCACTTTTTAAACTTTGAAACGTGGGGTAGGGTTATTAAAAAGGTTGTAGGTGCTGTAGATGCCTCAAGACTGTTAAGAGAGAGGCATGTTTATGGTTACGGAAAGTCGCTGAGTTGATTTATATATACCCGCTGGGGACTGCACAATTGTATTCTTATATTCACTATTGAATTCTAATTACTTCTAACTTCCAATGCCTTTTTTTTTTCCAAATGATCTTTATTTTTATTGTTTAATTTATATATATAAATTTTAGTTTCAGTCTCTTTAGTTTTTAATATACAATTTTTCTATTGTTTGATTCCAACTATTTTCTATATATGTTTATTTTATTCTAAGTTTTAATCAATTAAATTGTTTCTTAACTAACCTTTACATGAATATGTTAAGTCTAAAGTCCAATTAAACCAAAATAAATGTAAAATTGATAATTGAATTCAAGTTGTAATTTTTTAAACAAAATTAAGATTAAAACAGAAACAAATCAATATCGACCAAAATTACAATTTAATCTCTCTCTCTATATATATCGTATAATATTTGCATCGTTATATAATAAAGTTTAGCCGCGTATTATGTATTTATTTAAAGTTAGTATAATTCGTAAATATGATAAATTATAGCAATCAATAAATATATGTTCAAATACTTAAGAAATAATTCGATAAACTTTAATAAAATGCTTCTCTCTTACAAAATGACTGCTACTTCACTTTATAAAAAATAATCAAAGTTTGACTTCCGCTTTTCGGTTTGTAATAAATGTGAATAATTTTTTGTAGGTTATCTTCAAACAAATCAAATTAATAAATATATTTAAAGTAGATAAAACAATACACTTGTTAAGAGAATAAGATTATTTTTATAAAACTTAAAATAAATAGCATATTTATTATTGTTTTTATCACAACGAGGAAAGTAGAAGGTAAGAGTATGAAAACTCAATGGAAATAATTGTCAAGTTGGTCAAACGGAATTATGTGAAAAATAAAATCTAAATAATTTATATTGAAAAATATAAATTGTGGTTTTGATATTATTTTAAAACAAATAATGTTTTTTTATTCATAATAAACTGTTTATTGTATGAGAAAAAAAAGAATAAATAATTATTAATTTGTAAAAAATGTCAGATAGATAATCTTTAATAAAAAAATTTTTAATAATATTTATTCAACTTAAAACCATAAATATACGTCCTTTCATTTTCAAAATTTTGTTTAAGATTTTTTTTTTGGAGAAACTAATAAATGTAATAACTTTTTATTTTAATTAAATATTAATAAAACAAATATTTTACTATTTTTTACATCACAATAAATAAAGCAATTAAATATGATGTGAATGATAACTGTATATGAAACAATTAATTAATATTGTCTTAGAAAATACACTTAAACAAAAATATATATTTTTTTAAATTTAATAGGATGGGAATGATAACTGTATATGAAACAATTAATTAATATTTTCTTAGAAAATACACTTAAACAAAAATATATATTTTTTAAAATTCAACAGTTAAAAAGAAACCGAAGCAATAATAAATATAGCAATAAATTATTCATGTATGATAAAAAAAGGGACAGACACAGGTCATTAAAGTATAAAAATTGATTATCCTTCGTGTCATAATTGAAAAAGTTAATGATTTATAAAGAATACAGTAAAGAAAACTATTTGTATTAATAATGTAATTTATTAATAAAGCAGAAATAAAAACTAATAATCGTACCATGGTGCTTATAAACAGAGGTTTCCTATTGCATTGAACTTCATCAAAGAGTAATAGAACAACACATTCCCCTGTTTTGGTTCCCGTTTGAACCAAGACACTTCCAATGGCAGTCAATGCATATTCCAGTCTGCTACTTATTCTCATTTCTGTCTTTGCTGAAATGCACTTGCAGGGTGCCACTGCTGACGGTGGTTGGAAGGGTGGCCGCGCTACTTTCTACACTGGTTCTTCTAAGACCATGGGTACGTCACTTAGATTTTATCTTTGATATCAGGTTTTTTTACAGGATGAGACCTAATGTGGTTTCAGGGTATATGGATTTGTAAATGGATTTCGATCGAATCGGATTGGTTAAGTTTTTTTTTTTTGTATTATAATTTATATGAAATACTTAGAAACTAAAAAATAGCTAGGATTCAAAACTGTGTTTGCTATTCTATTTGATTCTTAATATAATGTCAACATTTTTAACATAATCATATAAGTCAATAAAAACAGTTAATTTTTAGTTAATTTTTTAGAAAATATTATCAATATACTAACTTAACCTTTGTTATTAATTATTTTAAATTTCTATTTTCATTTATGAATAAAAAAATCTTCCTCTTTTTTTAATAAAAACACAAATAGGGGAAGAGGTATTAGAATATGTGTGCAAATGCATATATGTAACTCTTAATAATATTGTATTTTTAATTTTTGATACGTTTATTCATCTTTGCCTGTGTCAGTAAATATTAATGTTTATACATGTAATTTAAGTTCTGAATTTAATGTTTTATAAATTTTTTATTTCCGATACATTCGTTTATCTTGTCTGTGACAAAAAATATTTTCTAGGAAAAAACGTACATGTTTTAAAATGTCACTCACTTATCATAATTAAAGTTTTATATGTGTAATCCACGTCATAGAAAATTGCACTGATCCTATTTGTTAACTCCACCGATCTCGTTATCATCTAGTGAGAGGGTGGGGATTACTAAAGCATTTTGTTATATACACACAGGAGGTGCATGTGGTTACGGGGATGTGATCGGCGAAGGATATGGAAGTGACACTACGGCTCTAAGCACTGCTTTGTTCAACAATGGGTTGACTTGTGGGGCATGTTTTGCAATTAGGTGTGTTAATGACCCAAAATGGTGCAAGCCTGGCTCAGTTGTGGTTACTGCTACAAACTTGTGTCCTCCCAGCAACAATGGTGCTGGTTGGTGCAACCCTCCTCTACAACACTTCAATTTGGCAGAGTCAGCCTTCCTCAAAATTGCTCAATATCGTGCTGGAATTGTGCCTGTGCAATATACAAGGTATTTGATCAACCCATAAACTTCATCATACAATCTTCTCACGAACCTTAGAGGTCATATTTATTAACTCTTTTGAAGCTATACTACTATGAACTATATTAACTATGTTTATTCCCATCAATATTGACACAGATTCATTTAGTGATAATGATAAGAGAGTGAATATATCATTTGATTTACCTTGTTCTTTGTTTCCTACCAACCTATTTACAAAATCTCTTTTGTGTTTTCGTTCTCTTATTTGGTGACGATGACAGAGTGCCCTGTGTGAAAAAGGGAGGAATAAGGTTCACAATTAATGGCCATTCTTACTTCAACCTGGTTTTGATCACCAACGTCGCGGGTGCAGGGGATATCCATGCAGTCTCCTTCAGAGGGGCCAGCGGTGGCTGGGAACCCATGTCAAGGAACTGGGGGCAAAATTGGCAGAGCAACGCCTACCTCAATGGACAAAGCCTCTCTTTTCAAGTCGCCGCCAGTGACGGTAGAATTGTGACATGCAACAACGTGGTACCAGCTAATTGGCAGTTTGGTCAGACCTTCCAAGGGGGTCAATTTTAGACTGTGCAATGTGGGGTACGTTAGTTCAATAGTTAGTGGGTGTTACTACTACTATTGATTCACAAATGTATCCTTTTAATAAATATTGAATTCTAATTAAAATTCAACTTATAATGTCTTATTCCTATTTTATTCAATGTCTCAGTCTTATATGATATTTTATTCCTATTTTAGCCATACCAAATCTTTCGATAATTAATAACAGGTTAAAAGTTTGACATCCAAGTTTTTTTATTGGGTATTGATAATATCCTGCAAATTTGTACTTTTCTTAGTCAGACTTCTACTATTCAATTATTAGTTTGAGGTTAAAATATGAAATATTTTCATATAGTATTATTTCTAAATAACAAATTTAATTCAAATACATAAAAAAGAGCGTTTGATATATATATATATATATATATATATATATATATTAAAATTAATATTTCAAAATATTTAAACTTTTAAATATTTTATTTGAAAAAAATAAATCAATTTTAATTTTTTAATAAAATGTTTTTATTTCTATAAAAAAATATAAAATATAAATTTTTATCACCAAATAAACTATTAACATCTATTGACAAACAATATTCATACACACTGACGAGAAAATATTATTAATTTTTTCAAATATGACTAGTCAAAAAATAATTTCACTCGCATCAATTGAGATAAATCTAATAAATGACAATCAATAAATAGTTGTGATGTATATTTAAAAAACAAATATTTGTAATAATATTAATAAAAAATCCATAATGATATTAACTTAAACAAAAATTGATTCACGTTGATTGTTGAAAAAGATATAACTCTATCAATTTTGATAGACAAAACCGTGATGAATAATTTTTATAAAAACAATCCCAACTAACATCAATTACAAATAATATTAATTGACATCAATAAAAATAATAATATAATATCAAATTGAGGATGTATGAATCTTGACCACGTCCAGATATCTTGCTTAAAATCGAAGTTAATAATATCAAAACATCAAAACGTGTTTAACAATAACTTTTATTAAAAAGTGACACACAAGAAATAAGTAATCCTGTCTTGTTTTATCTATATATGTAACTATAAATTTCTATAATGATAATTCAGTTTACAACTGTTTTTTAATTAATCCCACAATATTATCACTATCAACAGTATTTTTAGTATGAGATAGTATCTTGGTTATAATGTACTACTAAGAATTTATCTGTCATAATTTTTTCCGACTTGTAGGTAAGTTCTCTTTATAACAGCAACAATTTTAACATTATCATGTGACAACAACATCGATGATGCGGTTGATTTCCATTTTTAAGCAACTTAAAATAGTATATATTTTCTATCTACATTTATTAATTGAAAACACTTTTCTTCCAGATAAGGTCACAAATTTAAGTTTCAATGCTACAACAACCAAATTACAAAGTACAATAATACATTTCATTTCATACAAAAACATTCATACAGTGGTTATTTTTGCATAACTATATAGATTAAACCAAGCCTACAGCTACAAAAGTCTAATTTTCGTCGGTATTATTTTCTTGATAACTTTTATACCTATTGAGCACAACACAACCGAGGTCCACGTTCAACTTACATTCCGTGCAAGTTAATAACAAACCCTAAAAATGGAAACAAGAAGAAAAATGGAAACCTTAGCACGCCCATCATAACAAATCCACAATTGTCCAATAGTTTATAATTTCACAAAGTTGACTCTTGAAAAACCATTTTCTTCATTTGTTGATATACATCAAATAATTTTTTTTTTCAAAGGCCCAAATATTGATCCATTTAGTTTTATTTCATCAAAATCAGAAATATAGGAGCCTGCTGAAGTCTGTTTCTTCAAGTATCGAGTACTACGAAACAAAGACGATCCCTATTGCCCTATTTTTTCTTTCTTTCCCTCTTCTCGCTGTCTTCTATCATTTTTTGTCTTCGCTCGCAGATAGATATCGCATTTTTTTAATTCCATTTTCTTTCTTCGTTCGCTTCTCGTTTTCCCGTCTTCAAAAACCATACACGCGCCACTGTTGCTAGATTCACAGCACGCTCTCTTTTTCGTTTTAATTCCTTTCTCCTCTGCCCGGACTCCGATTCCGGGTCGGGTTGTGCCCGTGTTATCGACAGTGATGGGCGATCTTCATGCGAACGGCGCCGTTTTCGGGGAGGATCGCCCTTGCGGGTCCTCGCCGCCGTCTCCGCCGCTTCCGCTTTCGAATCCCGATCCGTCCTCCGTCCCGGCGGACGCTTGGGCGGCGGCCGAGCAAACAACTGGCGAGATTCTCCACAGCATACAGCCTACGCTTGCCGCCGACCGTAGGCGGAGGGAGGTCGTGGATTACGTACAGAGACTCATTCGTTACGGCGCCCGATGTGAGGTGATGTTGCTTGCTTTCTTCGATTTTCATCATTATTCAATTGTCGTCGTGGTCACCGACGATCGTTTTGGTTGCGTTGATGTTTGCTTTCTTTTTTCGTATTTAATTGAATTGAGTTTAAACGATCTTGGCGTGCTTGTTCGTGTCTAGGTTTTGCTTTTATGGTTTTTGTTTTTGTGGTTTTGATGATTGTGCAGAAGTTGGACATGGATTTGGAGTTGTTTGTGTTGTTTTGATGGCATTGCTTTTAAATTAGGGCGAGATTGGTGATGAACGATAACTTTACCATTAGGAATGTTTGTGGTGGTCGCAATGCCGAACTGGTATTGGAATGAACTTGCTCTCTGTCTACCTTTGGTCACGAGGTAGAGAAAAAAAAAATGCTAGTTGACAGATTCGCCATGAAGTTCAATTTTCGTACTGGTGTTTTAGGTCAGCTAAATGTGAAAGAAAATGTACTGTGGCTGTTTATGCTTTTATTCTTTTGCTCTGAGGTGGAACCATGGGACAGAGTAAACATGAACACTTCAAAATAGTGGTTAAGTTCGTTTGTTCGATACTTCGGTTACTTACCGGTGATGGACCCGTATTAATGTCAGTCATCGGACACTTCATAGGCATTTTGAACATTGTTAGCTGCTTTTTACAAGTTTTTGTTTCTTTTTATTATGTATTTATTATCGGTTGTATGAATGTGAATATCGCAATGATTAGGTAAATTGAAGTGTTTTATTATGTCTTAAATGACTTATGTTCACTTTTGAAATATCCATTCTGTCTTTGATTTGAGACATCTGTTTTATGTAAATGTTATACTGATATTCTATGTTGTTTTATAGCAGTGTTGTGTCTTATAATTTTCAAAAATTTGCTAATTTTAGTTTCTGTTGTGATTTATTTTGTGCTTTCTGGCATGGGACATGCGGTGAAAATGAGCAAATCAGTCATTTGATGAGGGAGTCAGTTGTCGAAAGGCATTAATGTTGTTCTCATATTTTTTGGATTTGACATCGAAGTGAGTCGTCAAGCATTGTATTAGTTATTAATTATATTTACAATATTCTTAAATTTTTATTTAGATATCAATAACCAGTAAGTGCTTGACATACAACTACGCTGGGACACCATATCCATAAGGGTAGCATAGCAACTCTGATTTTTAAATGAACATGTAAGGATTTGACATTACTTGTGTTTTTCTACCACTTTCAAAATATCCCTTGTTTAAGGATTATGCAGAAGGAATAAAAAAGATATTGCATAGCACACTTACTGAAAAAAAAATACATTTGCTTAAATTGCACGTTATTGTTATGCATAATATATTATCTGTTACTAACCAATTATTCCAAAAGCTTACGTGCATGTTTGGATTAATGTTGAGAGCAGAGTTGTCAAAATTTGTGAGTAAACTCGCTAACTTGTATGATCCTATTAGTTTTGGGTGGGTCCCATGAAAAATGGTACTGGGCACCACTAATTGTGCAGATTGCGTGTTGAAACTCACCGGATTGTTTATCCACTTATTCTCTTTTTTTGAGACAAATGGAGATGCTCTTGTCACTCTCATCATTGTTGTCTGTTGAACATTACTTTTGCCATCACCGGATGTTGCTACCATGGCCATTTGGACGATGCTGTTACTGCTGCAGATTTCATTGAAAATGCTACCGTGACATGAGACGACCATGAGAAATGTCATTGTGGAGTCGTGGTCACCTTGCTTCTCGCAACTGTCATGCTTGTTATGATTCTTGTGTCGCAAAGCAAGCATGACAGAGGTGATGAGGTTTTATTATGTTGTAGAGGTGACAAAGTCTTGGCACATGGGTTAGGTGAGCAATTAGGGTTAACATATGAAGCAACAAAATGAAGGTGGTGGTTGGGCTTGCGAGTCAACATGGGAATGGGCCTTATGTCTGGGCCTATTATCATAATATGTTCTTATTCTTAGTTTGTTTGGCTCTGTTGTTCGTTTGGGCCTATTATTTCTGTTTTTAGAGTTATTAGTTATTTTCTTATTTATGCTATTTTTTATGTGTATGACTATATAAATATAATCCTTATGCATTTTTAGAAGGATTTTATGATCCGTATTGATATTTTTATGATGCTTGAGTTACAATCTTTTATCCACCCTTTGGATCCTCGAGTTTGTCAACATTGTTTTACAGACCTCAAAAGTACTTTTATCCAGATGCAACAAATCATCCTTTCCAATTCATGCATTTGAATACACAATTTTGTATTGGAATCTACAAGAGTGCTTCCATAAATTTAAACCAGAATCTAGATACTTACTCATAGAGGCTTTGGTACATGTCGTATTATCATAGAATTTAAGCTGTTAGGTAAAGAAAGACTCTAGAGTGATTTTATTGCATCTCTAATGCCGATGCCAACAACCACCCCTCCTCACTCAGGCATTTTGATCTTGAAGTGTGGATAGTGCATAGGTCCACTTATCTTGTTCTAAAGCTTAACTTTCTATCAGAAAGATGGAGGTGAGGTGGGAAAAACTGACTTCTAGACCACTAGGTACTAAAAGCTTCGGTACCTTGTCATGAACTATCCCATGTGGATGTTTTATATTACTCATCTTACGATATCTTTCCATTAATGCTCTTTTCATTTCATTTATTTTAGATATCAAGAGACAAGAATAGGAACAAATAATTAATGCCTTCTTGGTCTTCAAAAACTGTAGACAAAATAAAACAAATATATTAGGCAATAAATATTTGAAATGAATGGAGTATAATTTCTGCTTTTGGCATATATTTGTTTGATGCTTTTGTATAAGTGACAAATTGCACTTTCCTAACATTTCCTTTTATGCATTATTCCATGATATGTGACTGTTTTTGCATTAATTTTCCATTTAAATTAGGGAAGTTTCACTGATCTCCTTCGAGGTTGACTCTCATTACACTAACACTAATATCCTTCATTTTATGCACTGTTCTTACGCCCTATACCCTTGTTTAATTAAGAAATTTTACATGTGTCTCTCTTACTTTATGTATAACCTAAGTAGCCCCCCCCTACACACACAATTATAACCAAGAGAAGGAGGTGAATGTAATTTTCCAAGCAAGAAGGATGCCAGTGTAAATATACTGTCCGTGCAATTTTCTAAGCAAGAAAAGGAGGTGAATGTAAATCTTAGACCTCAATGCATTATCTTCTATAAATAAACTGTCCATTGACACCCACAAATTAATTTATGTAATACATGCAACTTTTAAAGAGCATTGTACCCAGCAAGTATTTATGTTCTTGTCTGAATCTTTGTTTTTGTTTAATTCAACATCAATTATTGTTTGTAAGCCACTGTTTTGCTTGTGTTTGTAACTATTTTTAGAGTATATTTAGAGTAAAATATTTCAAGAATCAATAGTTGATTCGATCTCTTTAAAATTTTTAGAATAAAGTTTGTTATGAAATTATCATAGAAATTTATTTTGACCTGGAAAACCTGTTATATTTTTCATGTGTATCAATTGAAATCCATTTCAAATTGAATGGATTTGATTAGATTTGTTTGATTTGAGTTTAATAGTTTTAATTGCCATTTTATTTGTTAATTATATAAAGTCAATTCAACTAATATTTAATGTGTTCTAAACATGGAATTTGATCTGTAAATCAATTCAAGTCTTATATTTATGTTGATTTCCAGACATAAGAGTTTTGTTTTCAAACTTAAGAAAGATTGCTCTTGTTTTAGTGATTCCAAGCCCAACATTGGGCAAATTTTTTACGTATTCTTCCATGCTCTTAATAATTTAGTTAAAATTTGATTTGTTATTTTCTCTTTGACTTCCTATGGTTCCATTAATTTTTTTCTTCTAATAACTGTATAATTTCTTGGGGTTGACAACTATTTTCTAATTACTCAAGCATAATATTCATAGTAATAATAGAAGGGGAAAAAGTCAAATTAACAATGGAAGGCTTTCTACCCTCATTCATCTACACAGGGTTATCTAATTAAATGACTTGAGTTTTTCAGTTATTTTATAATCAGTGAGATTCTAAACGCATGGCTTACTTGAACTAGAACTGTGTGCCTAAGGTACCATTGTATTGTTAGCATTAAAGTTGTTGAATTGAAAAACCTAGTACCCAGTGGCACCTTCCATTGCACTGGTTGTATTGGATGTATGTGGTAGGGACTTAAGTATCATGTGTTCCTAAGTCCCATATCGAGTTTTATGGGATGTTTAGTGGTGTATTTAAGTTTTCAGTTCTCACCCGCTTTATGATTCGGTTTTATTGTTTGATGGAGTATTCAAGTGCTTGGTTCTCCTCCTAAACAACTACTTTTTAGGAGTGAGTTCCCCTAGTGCTTGAGTTCTTATTAGTGGGCATGGTATATTGTATTTATTTTAATTCATATTTTATTAAATGAAAAGATATTTCTGCCATGTAAATTGAGGCTGGTAGTTCATGGCTTTTTTTGCTGAAAGGGCTGACTGGTGGTGTGCAGATTTGAGTAAATTTTCTTGACTTCAGCAGTGATCGACAGGATTCTTTCTAACATGGTATAACATTATTGATGTTAAATATTATTCATTACAGGTTTTTCCGTATGGATCTGTTCCATTAAAAACATATCTTCCAGATGGAGATATTGATTTAACTGCACTCAGTTGTCAAAACATTGAGGATGGCTTGGTATCTGATGTTCGTGCTGTTCTTCATGGAGAGGAAATTAATGAAGCTGCTGAATATGAAGTAAAGGATGTTCGTTTCATTGATGCAGAGGTTATTTCAACTTTCTTATTTGATTCCTTCTAAAAAATTGAATGCATTTTAGTTTAAATATATTTAAGCCAACTGCCTAAGTAAATTTGAAATAAAGAGTTGTTAACTTGTTATGACATATGAGCTTGGAAACCGTTGGATCTGCATTTACTTTTACCTTTTTTTGGAGGGAAATATATTTTACTCTCAAGGAGGGTCCAAGCATTTTCCCCCTTTTATTGAATTTTGAGGTGTTTGAAAACATTTAGATAATTGCTTCTTCCTTCGCCACCTATTTCTCTTTTCCAAAGCTGTCAGTTTTAAGAATGTTATGTTTGAGCTTTTTGCTCAGTAAGTTATGAAAATGTTTTTCCTCTTCCCAACTTATTACTTCAGTCTATGTAAATTTACTTTATCTTAGTTTTGATTAGATCTAAAGCAGCATCTGGCAATTCTTATTGATTTTAATTGCTGTACATTTTCTCATCAATCAAGGACAGCAAAATTGTGTTACCTGTGTATCTTTGCTAAGTTGATGTGCTAGGCTGATTTTGCTAGCCAATTTGTTGTGGACCTAACTTTTTTAACTTAATATTTCAGTATTCCTTATACTTACTGAAATATTTTATTTATTGTTGATGCTTAATGTGCATCTTTGGTGCAATATTTGTGAATTTATTTATTTATATATTGTGTTGATATTTTTATGATTCATATGTTCGGGGTTCTTTTTCTGCAGGTTAAGCTTGTTAAATGCATTGTACAAGATATTGTTGTAGACATCTCTTTCAATCAGTTAGGAGGACTAAGTACATTATGTTTTCTTGAGAAGGTATTATTGAATGGCCTGTACAATTCTTTCTTGGTTAACATTTCAGATAGCAGATTGATTTTTTTATTTTATTTTCTTTGAGTATCAGGACTTTATAAACAAGTATTATTTGTGGCAATATATATGCATCCACATTGTGTGGTTTTGGAATATTGTGCATTACTACAGTTTGAATATTTTGTTTTATATCCTAATTATAATATTATATGGCATAATGTCCCTTGTGTCTGGTATTAAGTAAATTCTGCTCTTATAATTTTTAGGTTGATAGACTTGTTGCGAAGGATCATCTTTTCAAACGTAGTATTATCCTGATTAAAGCTTGGTGCTATTATGAGAGCCGTATACTGGGTGCCCATCATGGTCTGATTTCAACATATGCTTTGGAGACCCTGGTCCTGTATATTTTCCATCAGTTCCATGTATCCTTAGATGGTCCTCTAGCAGTAAGTTCACCATCAATATACCTGGATCATACTTTTTCTTGAAAAAATGGAAGAGAAAATCTGCATCACATGATGATGGTGATGCATCCTTTCAGTAAGAATTTTGTGCACTCTGCCCTTTTTCCAGGTTCTCTACAGATTTTTGGATTACTTCAGCAAATTTGATTGGGACAATTATTGTGTTAGTTTGAAGGGACCAGTTAGCAAATCTTCTCTGCCTAATATAGTAGGTAGGCAGATTTTTTCTTTTTGGTTTTGTTACCCTGCTTTATGTTTTTTTTTTTTTTTTTAAATCATCGGTTCCTTGCTATGTGAAGCTGAGGTTCCTGAAAATGGAGGAAATACCCTACTGACTGAAGAATTCATTAGAAGCTGTGTGGAATCATTCTCAGTACCATCAAGGGGGCCTGATTTAAATTTACGTGCATTTCCCCAGAAACATCTTAACATCATTGATCCATTGAAGGAAAACAACAATCTTGGCCGGAGTGTCAATAAAGGCATGTAATGTTTAACTTTTAGTCAGAATGGCTATTGCATTGTGTTTTAATGTGATGTGGCTAGGTTGTTTAATGATATTCTTTACCTTGATTTATCATGTTATCGTGCCTCTTAAAGATGTTTTTGTTTAATTATTCAATGACTAAAATCTTGTAAAAAAAAGGGAAGGAAAAAGGCATGTGCCGCATTTTCCTATTGAAATTTTGGTCCTTAATGCTATTGATAGAAGAAGATTTGCAATATTGCAAGAGAGTCCCTCTCTTACTGCCCAACCCCTTAAGGTTTCTAATAGAAAAGATACTTCCTAAGTGTCCCTTGCCATATTCTCTCTCTATATTTATCTATCCACCTCTAACTAGCCACATCAGCAATTGTATCAAATTCTTTGTTTGGCCAATTTGTTTGGCTTAGGCCCAAAAGCAAGATACTTACAACTGACCACAAACCTCCTACATTCATCAATCAAAGGACAAAATGTGTTTTTTATAAGATTCAAGTTGGGTGGTCCTCAATATTTGCTTCCGTGGATAATGTAGCTATGGCTGCACTTTGAACCAATGTCAGTTGTGCTGATTCAATAGCTTCTGAATAGTTTTAAAGAAGTGAGCTGAATGCAGCAGACATAATTAGTGTCGTCTAACCCTAATCATGAATTCTTCTGCTTAGTGGTATTTTCAAGTTAACCGAAGAGCAAGCATGATAGAGCCCCCCGAGACCACTGTAAGTGTATATGTGGAGTAAGTGGGAGAATCTTCTAAAGCAGTGTATATGGGTTTGTTGGAGGTTGTTGATAGAGAGTGTGGATATCGAGTAGTTCATCTCTTGGAGTTGTAATATTATGTTGGGAACAGGAGCATTTAATCTTTATTATTTTAACAAGTATCTACAAATTGGGTTCAATGTATCTTCCCAAGTTGTTATAGTTTAATTGTTATTTCTGAAAATAGCTGTAGTTATATATAACCTACATAACCATTCTGATTATAAATAGATCAATCTGCGGGTTGGAAATATAACTCAAGCATGTAAAAAATATGTACTCTTTGTTTCTCTTTTCCAACATGGCATTAGAGCTTGTTCCTTGATCTGAAGGAGTTGGATTGGCCTCGTGGATGTCTTCATTCAGAAAGGATCTTTGATCTTCTAGTACAGAATTTCAAATCTGGAGGATGCATCGTTTTCAAATTCATTTTGGGCTAATGTGTCTTGCTCAGGTTCCTGACAAGAATTGAAATCAAGAGTGAGAGAGATAAATATTTCAAAATGATTCTCCTTATCTTCCAAAAGACTCTCCCCTTGAAAGACAAGGTTGAGTAAAAAAAATTTATCCTCGTGAAACGTGACATCTTAAGACATAATTTCTTGGAAGGAGGATGAAAGAATTTGTACCCTTTTTCAATGTAGGAGTATCCAACAAAGACACTTTAGAGCTTTAGGATCAAGTTTACCCCTATCTTGACTATGGACATTAACAAATGAGACACATCCCAAAACCTTTCGGGGAAGTTTACTGGAAATAGACAAGTTAGGATAAAAAGAGTGGAGTACATTTATAGCGCTCTTACATCCCAAAATTCTAGACAGAGTTTATTGATAAGATTTGATGTGAAAGCAATCTCCCCCTAAAAGCTTTGTGGGTGTTTTGAAACAACAATGCTTTGGTGTGGTCTAACAGGTCCCTCTTTTTCCTTTTTTAATGCCATTTTTTTCTGGTGTTTGGACACACGAAAAATCATGATTATTCATTCTTTTTGGCAAAATAGAGTTAAGACTTGATTAAAATACTCCTTCCCGTTGTCTAATCATCGAGAGGGATTTTGAAAGACATTGCTTACAGCAGATTTGTATTTTAGAAGGAAAATCCAAGTGACTCGATTACAGTAACCAATAAAAGACGAATTATAAATATGAACAAGGTAAAATGGAAAGGTTAAGTTTCTTGTTACTTAATGGAAAAGGTACACACTTGTATTTTTCAATTTCACATACATCACATTGAAGACATTCATCATTTATTCTAGAAGAGAGAGATGGAAACTTTAACAGTAGAGACTCTGACTTAAATTAATGAGACTGTTTTTTTTTTAAGCGAATAAACATGTCTCTTCAATAAGATCAAAACAATTTATTTCTCTAGCACGTCCATATTTTTTTTAAACGAATAAACATGGCTATATTGATCCATAGTTGTTAACAGAACACATTAGTGTCACATCTCGTTGCTTTGTGAACAAACCCTGATGTGTTGTCATGTTTTGTAATTGGTGAGGGGTTGAAAGACTTTTGCACCTGATTATTAGTTGTTCATCTAAATTTTTTGGGGTAATTTGGTAATATCTCCCCTTTTTGTTTGAAGAGTTCAAAACCCTTTCAAACAGCTGAATCAGGTACTGCTTTCAGCAGTTCCTCTATTTGAGCAAACTATCCACCCAGAGTTCTTGGCTTCTTTCTGGTGTACCCATGGCACTCTGGCTGGGTTTCTTGCCAACTTACTATGTGTGTACTGTGGTGCGTTGTCCTGTTCACATAGAGAGTTTGTTTCTTCATATTTTCTGTTTATTTTTTTCTTTCTTTATTTGTTCCTTGTCTTTAAATAGGCACCTTTGCATTGCTCTTGATATTTATTTTTTTCCTTTTATAACTTTGTTATCCACTTGCAGTTCAGTCTAAAGTTGACTTTTAATATAAATTGTATAATTCTGGAATATGAAATGCTTTTATTTCTGAATTTATCTGGTTGTAATATTAAATAATTTTTTATTTATTTATAAGCAACAGAATAGAGATCAGCAGTTTTGGGTCTGGTCACTTGGCAGTGTTATTGATTTTAATGATTTATGAAACTCCTCCCAAATACTCATATCCTTCAGAAGCATCTCATGAAATGTGTCAAACTCTTATTGAATAAAAACTATGTTGGGATTCAATGGCTAGGTATGAGACTTGAGTCCCACATTGGAAGTATGGGATTCTGTGTGAGATTTGTAATACATTGGGCTGTCCAACTACTATAGCTAGCTTTTGTGGCGTGGGTATTGATGCCAGCATTACAGTATTCACCCGGTCCTGCTCAAAGGACTAGTGCTCAGCCACCGTGTGAATGGGGAGGCTGCTGGGTATGGTGGATGTTTGGATTCAATTGAAAGGTGTGAGACTTGAGTCTTACATTGAAAGTTTAAGATTCTAATGTGGGATTGACAGGTTTTGGGCTTTTGTGGTGTGGTTTTCCTAAGGTCCTCATTACACTCAAATTTTATATAAAAAATTCCACACGGGGCCTTGTAAAAGTTCTGCTTGAATAATCTGATCAAAGGTGATATCTTTAGGGGGCATAGTTTAATGCTTTACTTTTAAAAACTAATCTTAAATTTCTTTGGTGATGGAGTCATTCTTCAATAAATCTGACGTGATATCCATATCACCCTCCTCATTTTTGGTAAGAAAGGCTATCTGAAGGCACCATTAAATCAGCTGTTCCTAGCTCCTGCCCTGTGTTGTGATCTCTCCCCTGGAATGGCTTTTTGGAAGGTATCCTTTTCCTCTTAGACGTCATCCAGAGTGAAAATGCAGTAGACAATTCTCTCCAGTCACTTTAGCATAATTCTTATGGAGATACTTGTTAGAAGAAATAATAATTGGCAGAAGTTTAGTTCACCAAAGATTTGTGATGGCAAATTAGCAAGTTGAGAATAGCAAAGAAGCTTAAAACCATCTTTCATGGTCTTGATGTTTTTTATCTTTGTTATTTTAACGCACTTGTGTTTTTCTTCCTTTATGTTTTGTTTTTATATGGAAAGTAAGAACAATTATATATGAATAAAACCAATGTTGTAAAACTATTATATTTGAAGGTTGAAATTCATTTTCGTCCCTAGAGTTTACCTCAATTATTTCCTTATCCTTTATAAGTTTGTTTTGCTCCTATAGTTTCATTTTCTTTAGGTCTTTTTCCCTGCCACCAACAGTATGGCACTAGATGTGCGAGAGGACTATCAAGACAAATATTTGGTGAACTATGTGAACAAAAAATGTAAATGTTACAAACTAAAAGCCATACTTTTAAGGTATAGGAATCAAAATCAAGGTAATTTTCAGGTATAACAAATTGTATTTCAACTTAATTACCATGTAATATGTATTATTATATGATATATTGCAGGCCGTAAATCAGTGAAATTCCCCAATGTGTTTGCTTCCTCTGTACTTTAAATAAGTAACAGTATTCTACTATCTTTACAACATGGCCACTGCAACAGTACTGAAGCTACATATGCTTTGTTTTATGTAGTTTTGATGAGCACAATGAAGCATAAAAAATAGTTATAGAGGGCTAGCTTTTACCAAATGTCTCTTCCTGATGATACCATTATTTTTTTTCTTTCAGGTAATTTTTTTCGAATACGCAGTGCGTTTAAGTATGGTGCTCGTAAACTTGGCTGGATTCTTATGTTACCAGACGATAGAATAGCAGATGAGCTTATTAGGTTCTTTGCAAACACTCTGGAAAGGCATGGAAACACTCAGGTGAATGTAGATAAGTCAGTTTTGAGCTTATCTACAGCATCAAAAAAGGATGGAAAACCTGGAAATCAACATAATTATGAAGACAGAGAGGAAATACAAGATGCCTCCTCTTTGGCTGGGGAGTTCTTTGATTTCTCTGGGGATGGAAATGCTGTTGCAAGTTTTAAACTTAGTGATGATTCTAGGGATGTTGCAACATCTGGAGTCTTGGATATTGCAAGCACTAATGATTTGTCATATTGTACCAATGGGCAAATTGAAAATAATATTTCTAACACTGAACCTGCTCTGAATTCTGTTATTGATGAAGGTATGGTGAGCAATTCTCCCAAATCACATACTGATGAAAAGAATATGGCATCTTTTGGTTCAGCTGTTTCAATAGATGCTAATATCCTTGAAAATAATTTCTTTCATAGTGATAGATACACTACTAGTGTTTCTGGGGGTACTGAAGCTTCAAAGTCGTTGTTAGACCTTACCGGGGATTATGACAGTCACATTGGGAACTTACAATATGGTCAGATATGTAATGGTTATACTGTCTCTCCTGTTCTGCCTAGTCCTCCTAGATCTCCAAAGTTCCCAAATAGAAATCCATGGGAAACTGTTCGACAATGTGTACAGATTAATCACAGTATTCGTTCTCAGGCAAACTCAAATTGTGTAATTGGACAACAAGTTTACGTCATAAATCATCCTACTCTGCCAATGACGTCTTTTGCTTCAGAAGAGAAGAGGAAAATACGAGGAACAGGCGCATACTTCCCTAATATGGTATTTAAAGTTATAGTTTTTAAAATTGGACGCATACTTTCCAGTGATTGAGTCACCATTTAATGTAAGCTTTTAATTTGGCAGGCTTCTCGTCCATACAGGGATAATAAGCCAATGCCAGGAAGGGGAAGGGGCCAAGCACCAGGTTCTCATGGGCATCTGCAGAGACACACCCGTAACAATGGCTTGGCCCTAGCTCCACAAGAAATGAATTTGTCTGCGGAAGGAACATTTGAACATTCTCTAGAAGGATACCCTGCTATTGGTATCACTAAAACCAGATCATCTGAAACCTATTTCCCTCAACCTTCTACATGGGGATCACATTATGCGAATGGTTTCCTTCAATCATCTGAGAAACATGAATCTGGATCTGTGAGCCCCCAGCTTCGCTTATCCCCAAGAATTGAAATGAGCAATTACCCTGACCCAGGCTTTTCTACATCTAGGGGCACTGTGCCTAACACTGGGGTGGTGACAGAGGAGAAGTCTAATTCATTGTCAGTTGTTGATTCCAAAAGGTAATATAATTCTTCTAGTGTTGTTTATTTTGTTGTTACTGAAATTATTTATGATGTTCAATACTAGCAACTTTAATTAGAGCTTAAAGCACTAAAATTATAGTTTGTACTCCTAGTTTTCCTCTGCTTTAAAGGGGGTGTCTATGGTTTGAGATTCAGGATTGACGTGCAAGCTTATCATTTGAAGAATGAAGATGACTTTCCTCCACTTTCCCACTGAGTGCCAGTGAAAGATGGTGAATATGTAATAGCATTAGAAGTAATGGTTGGAAAACTATTATGACTTGCCTACCCTTTCAGCAGATGCTACCAAAGGATGGCGATTTTGTAAGAAGTAAGAACAATGTGCATTCGTCTCAAAAATGAAGATAGCTTCCCTCAACTCTGGGTCTCTTCTAGAGATTGGTGAACACATAGAAATGAGAGTACCAAATAAGTAGAAAACTGCTGGGAGTAGCCATAGAATCTAACGAAATAGACTAAACTAGATCGAGTGTTATGTTTATCCGTATTCTCTCTTTTCTTACTTCATTTGGTCCTTTGTACAAAAAGTGCTTGTATATTCTGGTTTCTTTTTTGCCTCTTACATCCGTTTTTATCTTTCATTATTTAGGGATGTATATATCAGGTGATTTCCTGAGGTTGAGTTTATAGTTCTTTTCTGTTGTTTGTAGCTTGAAGTGTACAACCAAAAGTTTAGATATCTTACTGAAATGGATACCCAAAATTTTCTCAGTTGTAGTAAGTATATTTTAGTGTTTTCTTTGGCATTTGGTGTTCGCCCATGATTTTATTCTTTGCCTTGCTTGAGATCTCAAAATTGGAGAATTGTCTTAATGGCTGAAATGCTTTGTCTCGAGTGGGGAGACGCGACTGGAGAAATATCAGAGATTTACCCAATTCTTTACCAGTCGTTTTTATTTGCTTACTGTTGAACATGGTCGATGCAATGATAGATTGGGTGTTGAACTGTGGTTTATTATCTAGCAGGGATATATGAAATCTGAAGTAGTGTACTGAGGAAAACATAAGGAGTCTCTCTTAAGACTTTTTAGTCATTGTGTGAAAAGAAAAACGATATAAAGAGTTTATTGAAAGAAAATTACTTTGAAAAGAGTTGGAAGAGGATCAAAGAAAACTTTAATAGAAGCATGATACAAGATGTTAAAGTGTTTTTTTGGTTTTTCGTGAATGGAGTTTTCTTAGTGAATTACAATAACTTTTTTCGATTCATTTTGTGATTTCACTTGGTGATATTACCCCAGCCCCAGCCAGATGTTATCATATCTGAATGTATAGATGCTTCATGCGTGGCTGATATTTTTTCTAGCAATGTGTTGTCTTTAATTTTACATAAATTGAGACGAAGTTTTGTTCAGTTTATATGATATTTTATACTTATTTTTGTTCATTACAGCAGTGTAATTGGTGGAGTCCTTGACCATTCGAATTGCCTTGATGATGCCCCCCAGAAAAATACGTGGTAGTAAACATCATGCTGTGTAGCTCTTAATGATAATATTTTGTGAATAGACCTAGGCTTGATTAAATCTAATCCAGCCAAAAGCAGGATTTGAAATAGAAGAATTAGCATATTTTTTTCTTTGGATGTAAGTTGTATTTTTATACTAGTGAAGATTTTATCGTTGTGCATAAAATATAGTCTTATCATGGTAGTATGTCTCATCAGGCTGTGGTGCGGAGATAAAGCCGAATAGAATTGCTTACTACTGTTTTGTTGTCTATATTGTTTTTTTAGTAGAACTGATATGTGTCATTTTCCAAACTTATATTTTGGTAATATCTTGTTTTAATTTCTACAAATCATTGACGTTTTTTTTAAGTCCTTGTAATTTTTTTTTACTTTTAAATCTCTGATATTCTGTAAAAAAAAATATTTTTGCTACCTTTATTAACTTAGTTAAATATTATTATGATTAACAAAATGTAAAATATATGAATTACAATAAATTAATAATTTTTTTCAAACATAATTCAATCAAACAATTTATTATTTTATATAAATAAGAAAACGTAGATGATTTGTTTACATTTTTAATACATTATACATAGTGTTTTTACCTTTATTTTAATATTGTATTTTAAAAAATATATAATTTGCTTGAAAAAACTAAAATTTACTTTTAATATTTTACTTATAATATTATTTTTTTTATTTTTCACCTAATTTAGTTTTTTTTATAATGAAGTAACTTTTAATAATGAAATAAAGATTTTTTTAAAGTCATATAATTATCATTATTTTTAGATAATAATAATAATAATAATTTATATCATCATAGAAAGGTAATTTTTTATTTTATAATTACTTTCAGTGTCATTGTTAATGAAATTATATTATTCTTTATTAAATAAAAATAATTATTTTTATTGTGATATGAGAAAAAAAAAGAAAAATATAAAATAAACAAATATGAGAAAATTTGATACAAAGAGCAGAGAGAAGACTTGTGGTAGAAGGAGAGAGAACGTGTAATAGAGAATTAAAAAATGAATAAAATTAATTAATAATATAGAAATGTTTCCATTAATAATAATAAACAACATTGTAATACTCTAACAAGGTCAGAGTATTTAGAAGAATTATTAAGTTAATTATATATTTATGTTTTGTATATTAATAGTATAAATAAATAATTAATATTTTTACATATTCATAGTAAGTAGAATATGGCATAAATTTTTTATTTGAAAGATTTAATAATTGTCTAATGTTTATATCTATCAGCCTATATTTTTTAACCATTATTTATCGGAAATTTTAGTTCCTTATCTGGTTAAGGGGCGCAAAAAAAAAAAAACTATATTTTGGTATTTTTAGTAAAAGAAATAGTCTGGATAAAATTATTTCAGATGTTTCTTCTTCCTAAGTGCAAGTTTAGTTATGTATGTGTAATATATAATATATAATATAAAACCTTTCTTTATTAAATAATATATACAGTTTTTTATATAATTTTTGTTTGGTAATTGATCCAAGTTACGAGTTCTTTAATTTATAATTTTTTTAAAAATATAAATATTTTTATGTTATTAATATTTATATACAATTTCGTAGAGATAAATGTTTACATTATGTCCTTGAACGTAGGTTTTAGTCCTTGAACCTTTCAAGTTCAAGAGACGATAAATCTACATTTTTTTTAAGTAATTTTAAATTTTCAGGACTAAATTATGGAAATACACATATTAGCAGATACCACAGATAAATACTATATTTTCAGAGACTAAATGGTGAATTATAAATTTAAAACATATTTATGGAAGTTGTAATTCTGATTTTTTTTAAGATTTTTGCAAGTAAAGTTAATTGTTTAAGTTATTTTCCTTGAAAATTTATTTGTAGCTAGTGAAATCAATTTGAAGAGTTTATTTATTATATTTAATCATGTTAGGTCAAAGACGCAAGAGAAGGACAGTAAATTTGGAAAACATTACTAGTCTCACTTCTCAAACGAAACTCTAATGGAAAGTTTTTTTACAAAATGAAAACACACACTACTTCATCAACCTTGTTCAAAATACATATTATTAGTAAGGTATGATCTTAGAACATATCCTACAAAATGGAGAGGATAAATTAAAACTTTAATCTCTAGTTTTTTTTTTTTTAATCTCTTTAGTCTTTAATATGTGAATATGTATGTTTTTAATTTTTAGATTTCATAGATTTAAAAATAAAATATATGATTTAAGTATAATCTTCAATTTTATATATGTTTCACTTTGATTGAATTAAATCTCAAACATAACATTCATTTAAGGTTAGTAATTTAAAAAATAAAAGTTAAAAAATAAATGTATGCAAAATCCTAAGATTAAAACGGATAGAATAATAGATATAATTTAATCTTGTTGTAGACCAGCAAGAAGCACCAGTGGTCTAGTGGTAGAATAGTACCCTGCCACGGTACAGACCCGGGTTCGATTCCCGGCTGGTGCAGAGCTGTGACGATAATTGTGTCAACTGTGATGGATGGGTCTATCACGTCGCTCTGATCTTCAGACGAATGGTGGCACACCTGAGCTCTTGTAATTTTTTATTATTCTTTGATTTAAACTTTTCTTTAATAATTGGACCAATCATTCTCCAAAAACATTCATTAATCGAAACCACTGCTTCATTACTTTTACCTTCACAATATTATTGAGAGTGCTGGGTTCAGAGTTCTCCATCCTCCGCCACATATTTTATTTTCTGGGTCTGCCACTAGGCCAACATACTCGTAGTGCCCAAATGACCAAGTCAATGAAGAAAATGGAGTGTAAATGGTTGGCTTGACCCCAGCTTCATATTCTACCAACACTCACTATGTAATGTCTTTCTTGGTCGGACATTATTCCTCGCTTATGAATCCTAAACCTTTTTCTATTATCTCTTTTCAAACACTTATTATATATTTTTAATTGTAGCCCAAACCCTCATTTTACTCAATTACTTTTTTTTTTTTTTTTTTATAAAGTGGTTTGATTAAAACAATTTCACCACCATTTTTTAATGAACCAAGATGACCAACTTCAATTAGGATCATATCGAACGACACGAGATCCTACGGAAAGCACAAGATTGCGACTTCTTATTATCTTTAAACTTTATTCTATCATGCTTATTTTTTATTCTACATTATTAAGGTAAATCACACCCAAAACCACTAAGAACTCAAAAAGCGAGATTCGCTAAAAGTAACCTAGAGAAGGTCTCGTAAAGCACAAAGTGGGTAACTTATTGATTGTAGGTCCTTTCAAACGAGCATAAAGACTTGTGGAGTTCCTAATAATTTAAATCAAACCAACATTCATAAACTCCTATTCGCCATCCATGGAGGTTGAAGTTCTAAGAAATTTCCAAAATTAATCTCAATGTTGTTGGTTGATTAAGTATTCTTTTCTCAACATTAAATCGTGCACTTTCCTGTCTTTTGATTTGATTATTCTCAAGGAAAAACGAGAATAGTATAAAACAAAGAAACATACAACACTTTCAAGTAGATTTGGATCCAAAAAGATAATGCATGCACTATTCAAAATGCAACCATGTAACTTTTCTAATTGGAACTCACCTGTCACACACAATTATTATGCTCTTTTTCCTTGAAATTAATAGCTATTACTCCAATTATTAAAACCAACCCACTACTCGTTCCTTTTTTCTCTTAATTAAATAATCACTAGCAAGTGGAAAAACGCTGTACAATGATC